TATTTCTATACATTTCGTGAATATTTTGTCAAATTTTGAAGTCTATAGAGCAATTAGTTTGGAAATGGTGATGAAATAAAGGCAATATCAAATTAAAAAAAATCAAGTTCAACTTTGATACCTTGTAACTTTAAAACCTTTTGAAATTTTAAAATGTAGTTTTCAAAATTATATTTCTATACATTTCGTGAATATTTTGTTAAATTTTGAAGTCTATAGAGCAATTAGTTTGGAAATGGTGATGAAATTAAGGCAATATCAAATTAAAAAATTCAAGTTCAATTTTGGTAGCTTGTAACTTTAAAACCTTTTGAAATTTTAAAATGTACTTTTCAAAATTATATTTCTATACATTTCGTGAATATTTTGTCAAATTTTGAAGTCTATAGAGCAATTAGTTTGGAAATGGTGATGAAATTAAGGCAATATCAAATTAAAAAATTCAAGTTCAATTTTGGTAGCTTGTAACTTTAAAACCTTTTGAAATTTTAAAATGTAGTTTTCAAAATTATATTTCTATACATTTCGTGAATATTTTGTCAAATTTTGAAGTCTATAGAGCAATTAGTTTGGAAATGGTGATGAAATTAAGGCAATATCAAATTAAAAAATTCAAGTTCAATTTTGGTAGCTTGTAACTTTAAAACCTTTTGAAATTTTAAAATGTAGTTTTCAAAATTATATTTCTATACATTTCGTGAATATTTTGTCAAATTTTGAAGTCTATAGAGCAATTAGTTTGGAAATGGTGATGAAATAAAGGCAATATCAAATTAAAAAAAATCAAGTTCAACTTTGATACCTTGTAACTTTAAAACCTTTTGAAATTTTAAAATGTAGTTTTCAAAATTATATTTCTATACATTTCGTGAATATTTTGTTAAATTTTGAAGTCTATAGAGCAATTAGTTTGGAAATGGTGATGAAATTAAGGCAATATCAAATTAAAAAATTCAAGTTCAATTTTGGTAGCTTGTAACTTTAAAACCTTTTGAAATTTTAAAATGTACTTTTCAAAATTATATTTCTATACATTTCGTGAATATTTTGTCAAATTTTGAAGTCTATAGAGCAATTAGTTTGGAAATGGTGATGAAATAAAGGCAATATCAAATTAAAAAAAATCAAGTTCAACTTTGATACCTTGTAACTTTAAAACCTTTTGAAATTTTAAAATGTAGTTTTCAAAATTATATTTCTATACATTTCGTGAATATTTTGTTAAATTTTGAAGTCTATAGAGCAATTAGTTTGGAAATGGTGATGAAATTAAGGCAATATCAAATTAAAAAATTCAAGTTCAATTTTGGTAGCTTGTAACTTTAAAACCTTTTGAAATTTTAAAATGTACTTTTCAAAATTATATTTCTATACATTTCGTGAATATTTTGTCAAATTTTGAAGTCTATAGAGCAATTAGTTTGGAAATGGTGATGAAATTAAGGCAATATCAAATTAAAAAATTCAAGTTCAATTTTGGTAGCTTGTAACTTTAAAACCTTTTGAAATTTTAAAATGTAGTTTTCAAAATTATATTTCTATACATTTCGTGAATATTTTGTCAAATTTTGAAGTCTATAGAGCAATTAGTTTGGAAATGGTGATGAAATAAAGGCAATATCAAATTAAAAAAAATCAAGTTCAACTTTGATACCTTGTAACTTTAAAACCTTTTGAAATTTTAAAATGTAGTTTTCAAAATTATATTTCTATACATTTCGTGAATATTTTGTTAAATTTTGAAGTCTATAGAGCAATTAGTTTGGAAATGGTGATGAAATTAAGGCAATATCAAATTAAAAAATTCAAGTTCAATTTTGGTAGCTTGTAACTTTAAAACCTTTTGAAATTTTAAAATGTACTTTTCAAAATTATATTTCTATACATTTCGTGAATATTTTGTCAAATTTTGAAGTCTATAGAGCAATTAGTTTGGAAATGGTGATGAAATAAAGGCAATATCAAATTAAAAAAAATCAAGTTCAACTTTGATACCTTGTAACTTTAAAACCTTTTGAAATTTTAAAATGTAGTTTTCAAAATTATATTTCTATACATTTCGTGAATATTTTGTTAAATTTTGAAGTCTATAGAGCAATTAGTTTGGAAATGGTGATGAAATTAAGGCAATATCAAATTAAAAAATTCAAGTTCAATTTTGGTAGCTTGTAACTTTAAAACCTTTTGAAATTTTAAAATGTACTTTTCAAAATTATATTTCTATACATTTCGTGAATATTTTGTCAAATTTTGAAGTCTATAGAGCAATTAGTTTGGAAATGGTGATGAAATAAAGGCAATATCAAATTAAAAAAAATCAAGTTCAACTTTGATACCTTGTAACTTTAAAACCTTTTGAAATTTTAAAATGTAGTTTTCAAAATTATATTTCTATACATTTCGTGAATATTTTGTTAAATTTTGAAGTCTATAGAGCAATTAGTTTGGAAATGGTGATGAAATTAAGGCAATATCAAATTAAAAAATTCAAGTTCAATTTTGGTAGCTTGTAACTTTAAAACCTTTTGAAATTTTAAAATGTACTTTTCAAAATTATATTTCTATACATTTCGTGAATATTTTGTCAAATTTTGAAGTCTATAGAGCAATTAGTTTGGAAATGGTGATGAAATTAAGGCAATATCAAATTAAAAAATTCAAGTTCAATTTTGGTAGCTTGTAACTTTAAAACCTTTTGAAATTTTAAAATGTAGTTTTCAAAATTATATTTCTATACATTTCGTGAATATTTTGTCAAATTTTGAAGTCTATAGAGCAATTAGTTTGGAAATGGTGATGAAATTAAGGCAATATCAAATTAAAAAATTCAAGTTCAATTTTGGTAGCTTGTAACTTTAAAACCTTTTGAAATTTTAAAATGTAGTTTTCAAAATTATATTTCTATACATTTCGTGAATATTTTGTTAAATTTTGAAGTCTATAGAGCAATTAGTTTGGAAATGGTGATGAAATTAAGGCAATATCAAATTAAAAAATTCAAGTTCAATTTTGGTAGCTTGTAACTTTAAAACCTTTTGAAATTTTAAAATGTACTTTTCAAAATTATATTTATATACATTTCGTAAATATTTTGTCAAATTTTGAAGTCTATAGAGCAATTAGTTTGGAAATGGTGATGAAATTAAGGCAATATCAAATTAAAAAATCAAGTTCAACTTTAGTAGCTTGTAACTTTAAAACCTTTTGAAATTTTAAAATATAGTTTTCAAAATTATATTTCTATACATTTCGTGAATATTTTGTCAAATTTTGAAGTCTATAGAGCAATAAGTTTGGAAATGGTGATGAAATTAAGGCAATATCAAATTAAAAATATCAAGTTCAACTTTGGTAGCTTGTAACTTTAAAACCTTTTGAAATTTTAAAATGTAGTTTTCAAAATTATTTTTCTATACATTTCGTGAATATTTTTTCAAATTTTGAAGTCTATAGAGCAATTAGTTTGGAAATGGTGATGAAATTAAGGCAATATCAAATTAAAAAATTCAAGTTCAATTTTGGTAGCTTGTAACTTTAAAACCTTTTGAAATTTTAAAATGTACTTTTCAAAATTATATTTATATACATTTCGTAAATATTTTGTCAAATTTTGAAGTCTATAGAGCAATTAGTTTGGAAATGGTGATGAAATTAAGGCAATATCAAATTAAAAAATCAAGTTCAACTTTAGTAGCTTGTAACTTTAAAACCTTTTGAAATTTTAAAATATAGTTTTCAAAATTATATTTCTATACATTTCGTGAATATTTTGTCAAATTTTGAAGTCTATAGAGCAATAAGTTTGGAAATGGTGATGAAATTAAGGCAATATCAAATTAAAAATATCAAGTTCAACTTTGGTAGCTTGTAACTTTAAAACCTTTTGAAATTTTAAAATGTAGTTTTCAAAATTATATTTTTCTATACATTTCGTGAATATTTTGTTAAATTTTGAAGTCTATAGAGCAATTAGTTTGGAAATGGTGATAAAATTAAGGCAATATCAAATTAAAAAAATCAAGTTCAACTTTGGTAGCTTGTAACTTAAAAACCATTTAAAATTTTAAAATGTACTTTTCAAAATTATTTTTCTATACATTTCGTGAATATTTTTTCAAATTTTGAAGTCTATAGAGCAATTGGTGTTAAAATGGTAATGAAATAAAGGCAATATCAAATTGTTCAATTTTGATACCTTGTTCACGACAGTTAATCAAGAAAACATCTTAAGAAAACCTTTTAGAGTTTGTGATGAACAGTTCGATGATGTAAAGGATGGTGCAAAAAATGTACCACCTGTGGTACTATGAGTAAAGACTTCAACAGAAAAGGAAAGTCCCCAAGAAGTAATACAGCATCAGTAGCCCATTTCAGAGAATTGTTCTAAATACTGCTAATAACTCGCCAGTGTACGGCGCAATTCTTCATACTTATTGACATTGCTTGCTATTGTCGGGGAAAGTTTTACAGTTTTTTCGACCTTTTCGTAGATTTTTGCTACTTCCAGGTTGGTATGGTATGGAGAGGAGTTGGCTTTTCGTTTGTTTTTCTTCTATTGTTTCTGCTGTTATCCATTCTACGATCGTCGATTTCTTTTACCACTTCCTCTTCATCAGCCACATAATTTGTTAGAGATTTAGATATTTATTGTTTAAGATTATATATCAAACATTTTTATACTAAATTAGGTTAACAAATCTATGCTGAATGGACTAGATTATCAATATATATTAAAGCTCACACGTGTTAAATTGAGCATGTATATTAGTTTGCTATATCGATTGGAGTGGGCGAAAAATAACAACGAAAATAGGAATTTGCTTTCATACATGCATTATCCAACTATTCTAGTATTAAAATGAGACCTTTTTTTTTTATTTACATTAAAGAGTATGTTCGTAAATTATTTCCCTCCTCTTCTAAACGCAAACAAAAAAATTAATGAATCAAATATTAATTTATTTATATATTTATGAGATAAAAAATTAATAATTCCTCACCATCGTCCATAATAGCAGTGGTAACGTTTTTACCAGTAATTCCTTGCGCCCATGCGGCTTCAACGTTCAAATCCAGTTTCGCCTTGCCACCATTTTGTCCGGTATTTTTCAAATACCATTGGTACGGAAAATAGGGATCCGTCGGATCTTTATGAGGTTCGATATTTTTAACTAAATTTTCTACTTTTAAAGGTTTGTAACCTCTTTTAACGCGGATAAATCCGGGTTGCTGTACCGCAGTGTGGATCTAAAACAAAAGAAAATATGTAACTTATACAATAATTAATGTATTTACCAGATTTCAATGGCAGAAGAAGATATCTTCAAAACGGCAATTACCACCTGTTTCGAAAGTGTTTGAAACATATCAAAGACGGTCCTGTGCTCGTGAATGCAGTTGTTCATTATTAGCATCTGTATTGAAGAAGAAAATTTCGCATATTCACAGAATAACTTAAAACAGATCGAAACCCCTCAATACAGTTCAAATTCCAATCGATTTAATGATCGTCAAAATTCTAATAACAATCGCCAATATTTTAGAAATGACCAGTATAGAAACATTTCAAAATAATAGAAACCAGCCCGACAATGCTTATCAAATAAATTTTGTTCCCGTACAACTTCCCGTAACTTATAAAAACAACTCATTCCCTAGCCAACCAATTCCTGTACAACCGCGTACGATCAATATATATTATTTAACAAATAGACGTATTCGGGACACTAAAAAATGCATTCGCCCTAATGGGCCAAATATCCACCAACAGTCCAGTACCAATGTCGACTACTACTCGAAATACCTTCAGAACTGTATATGTCACTTTAATATTTAAATTTGCCGCCACATTTAAGTTGGCAACGTCCAGTCTGGTCTTTGGTAATTTTCTAGTTTTGACAGCTATACTTCACTTGTCAATTGTCATGAAGATTGTCACTTTTGGTGTTTTATGTGCAAAAGTCAGGTGCATGGCGATTAAAACCGTTTTTAATTATTTTGAGTTTTGTTATGGAAAATAGGAACGTATCTTAAAAGAAGTAATGGCTGTGTTCATCCGCGCCACATGCTACCTGATCGATCTGGTAGCGCTCTCGAGTGGCACGTATGAACGGTGTATTTTGACATTTCGCTCAAGGAGCAGCCGCCATTAAAAGTAGCGCATTTTATTTAAGTCTGATCGGTGATCACTGTTCTGTCTTACGCACTTACGTCCACGGTTTGCTTGGTGACTAGTAGGGTTATATTAGCATATTAGCAATTGAAAAATAAACAAACAAATCTTCAACCAGAAACATTCAACTCAAAAGTAAAATGAATAAACCAAAATCAAATGTCACTTTTAAACATGATTCATCCGTGCATAAAGATCGATCAGGTAGCGTAAGTGATCGCTACTTTTGTAGCGCTCCTTGAAATGGCGCGGATGAAGGCAGCCATTAACTACAGACCCAGACAAAGTTTCCAAAATTATCAACAACCCATGTCGACAAGCACCCTAAACACTTTTAGACCCAGACAAAAGTATCAACAAAATTTTGCAACCCAACAATTATTTCAAACAGATTATGAAAAACCTTTTAAGGAAACTCCTATCGATCAAATTACGAATTTGAAAGTTATTTACCGAATCATCAAATGAATTCAAACTCAGAAAATAATCAAATTTCGACTAACAGCGTGCCGAAAATTTTCGGAAAACAGCCAGAGTAAAACAAGGAACATAAACGAAATAATTTCCAATTCATATTCTGCGGATTTGTAATATCTAGTTATACAAAATCCACGTTTAAAACTCCTTATAGATACCGGTAGTATGTCTAGTATGATAAGTCCAAATATCGTTGAAAAATATTTCCCAGAAAATATTTACAACGACCCAATCTTAATAATTACGGCTATAGGTAAAAAGCAAACCAAATATAAAGCTAAAATTCTTGCCTTTAAAGAATTTAATTCCAATATTAACCATTTTGATGGGCTACTAGGATTAAACGAATTACGTAACCTAAAGTTTACAGTAGATTTAGTAAAAAATGAAAATACGAAAATACCAAATTTATATAAAATAAATAGGGAACATTATACAATTTCTGTAGATGCATACAAAATCGTTACTGCGCAGGTGCCAGTAGATTATTCTAATGGCGAGGTAATTGTACCCGAAATAAAATACGGAGATCTTGATTTCCGAGAAACATTGACTTTATCTTGTAACGGTTTTGCGAAAACAGAAATAATGAACAATACAGATAAAAGAATTACTATTACACTAACAGAACCTATTAAACTTTTTCCACTTACAAAGGGACACAAAAATAATTTAGAATTTTTTCATATAGAAAATATTTTACAAAATTTTAATAATGAACAATTAGATGAGGACATAGAAAACTTAATACGCACAAGTCATTTAAATTCTGAAGAAAAAGCCATTTTAATTAGTCTATGTAACGAATTTAGCGAATTATTCTACAGGGAGAACCAAAAAATGAGTTTTACAAATCAAGTAAAACCCAAAATAAAGACCACAGACGAAAGTCCGGTCTTTGTCAAGTCATATCCTTATCCATTCGTATACAAGAACGAGGTACAAAGACAAATTTCCAGGATGCTTGAAGATGGGATTATAAGGCCCAGTCAAAGTCCATGGAGTAGTCCAATATGGGAAAACACATTTTCATGTTACCAATACGAAACTAATTAAAATTCCTGATTTCCCACGTTCAACTGAGTGTAGAATTATTTATACTCCTAGCTAGAATGGCCCCCTTCGAAAATTTGTCCCGTGCCGCCCATTATTTTCATCTCTTTCTCTAAATTATTTAAATCACCCCCTGGGACATGCTGTTTAAGATAAATTATGGTAAAAGCAAATGTATTAATTTTGTGGGAATTCGTTTGGCGTACTGATTTTCCAATATTTAATGAACCAAAACCGGTGAATTATTTAAATCATCTACAGGGACATATTAAAAGATAAATTATTATGGTAAAAGCAAACGTAATAATTAATTTAGCAACTGGTTTTCCAATACTTTCCATAAAACCAAATTTTATTCATTCATGTTGGATAACGCGTAGAGAAGAACGGTTGTCAATTATTGAGCTCCATTTTCATTGTCTAGGATTAACTTTTCCAGGCTAATACCTCTTGATGGAAATTCTCCACTAAACACATAACGGTTAAGTTAAAATACGCTTTATAAAGGTTTCTTGCCGTAATTGGGTAGATATAAATTGTTCCCTTTTGTTAAGTTGTGTACTTTATTCTACTTTTAATGTAGGTATAAAGGATTTCTTAAAGTTAAATACGTACCTTATTAGGTAAATTTTAAATATCTACAGGGAATTGAAAAGAAAATTTAAAACTGTTTATTGAATCAACAAAATTGAATAAATTAAGTGAGCCTTTGATACTCTCTATCTTTAACAAATATTAAAATTTACAAATTTTGTTTGCAGAATAATGTTTCTACACTTTTTATAAATGTGTTCTGAAATTTTGAAGTTTATAAATCTATTAGTTTTGGAATTAGGGACGAAACAAAGGTTCCAATATCAACTTTAACAAGTAAGATTTTAATTTTGAAACTATCTATCTTTAATAGCTGTTGGAATTAAAGAATTTTGATTGTAAAATAATAATTCTCCACTCTTTATAAATGTGTTCTAAAATTTTGAAGTTTATAAATCTATTAGTTTTAGAATTAGGAACGAAACAAAGGTTCCAATATCAACTTTAACAAGTAGAAATTTAACTTTGATACTATCTATCTTTAATAGCTGTTGGAATTAAAGAATTTTAATTGTAGAATAATGATTCTACACTCTTTATAAATGTGTTCTAAAATTTTGAAGTTTATAAATCTATTAGTTTTGGAATTAGGAACAAAACAGAGGTTCCAATTTCAACTTTAACAAGTAGGAATTAAATTTTGATACTGTCTATCTTTAACAGCTGTTGATATTTAAGAATTTTGTTTACAAAATAATGTTTCTACACTCTTTATAAATGTGTTCTGAAATTTTGAAGTTTATAAATCTATTAGTTTTGGAATTAGGGACGAAACAAAGGTTCCAATATCAACTTTAACAAGCAAGATTTTAATTTTGATACTATCTATCTTTAATAGCTGTTGGAATTAAAGAATTTTGATTGTAAAATAATAATTCTACACTCTTTATAAATGTGTTCTGAAATTTTGAAGTTTATAAATCTATTAGTTTTGGAATTAGGGACGAAACAAAGGTTACAATATCAACTTTAACAAGTAGAAATTTAACTTTGATACTATCTATCTTTAATAGCTGTTGGAATTAAAGAATTTTAATTGTAGAATAATGATTCTACACTCTTTATAAATGTGTTCTAAAATTTTGAAGTTTATAAATCTATTAGTTTTGGAATTAGGAACAAAACAGAGGTTCCAATTTCAACTTTAACAAGTAGGAATTAAATTTTGATACTGTATCTTTAACAGCTGTTGATATTTAAGAATTTTGTTTACAAAATAATGTTTCTACACTCTTTATAAATGTGTTCTGAAATTTTGAAGTTTAAAAATCTATTAGTTTTGGAATTAGGAACGAAACAAAGGTTCCAATATCAACTTTAACAAATAGGAATTTAACTTTGATACTCTCTATCTTTAACAGCTGTTGGAATTAAAGAATTTTGATTGTAAAATAATAATTCTACACTCTTTATAAATGTGTTCTAAAATTTTGAAGTTTATAAATCTATTAGTTTTGGAATTAGGAACGAAACAAAGGTTCCAATATCAACTTTAACAAGTAGACATTTAACTTTGATACTATCTATCTTTAATAGCTGTTGGAATTAAAGAATTTTAATTGTAGAATAATGATTCTACACTTTTTATAAATGTGTTCTAAAATTTTGAAGTTTATAAATCTATTAGTTTTGGAATTAGGAACGAAACAGAGGTTCCAATTTCAACTTTAACAAGTAGGAATTAAATTTTGATACTGTCTATCTTTAACAGCTGTTGATATTTAAGAATTTTGTTTACAAAATAATGTTTCTACACTCTTTATAAATGTGTTCTGAAATTTTGAAGTTTATAAATCTATTAGTTTTGGAATTAGGAACGAAACAAAGGTTCCAATATCAACTTTAACAAATAGGAATTTAACTTTAATACTATCTATCTTTAATAATTATTGGAATTTAAGAATTTTATTAATTATTAATTTTCGTCAAATTAAATGGCCTTGATTTTTTAAAGATTATTCCATTTCTGATGACCGTTAAATTTCAAAATAATGGAATATTTATTGATAGTAGAAGAAAACTTGCAGATAAAAAAAGATAAGTTACTGTAAGAACTATTGAAATGAGAAACAGGCTATCGTTCGCTTACTAATAAAACGTTTTGATAGACAGCACCATACGTTTGTTTGTTTCTCAAATAATTAAGTAGCTTCGTTACATCCCCTCCCTTTCTTCAGTAAAAAAGTAAACATGTAAACTTTTTCATGCATATATCAAAATTATGAAGTAAATCTTTAAATGTATTCTTTTATATTTACCAATGGATCCACTTTCAGTTGTCTCATATGAGGTATACTTCGTTTAGCTCTAGCAACCGGTACAGCATGGTTGACGAAGTGATATTCTCGCCTGGATCCCAAAATCTGAAACAATAAATAATATTAGATGTAAACCAGATAATCTGACTAGCTGGAACGGACGATAGAAGATCAAATCGAATGGGCTCAAACTTAAACTCAATTAGAGATAATTTAAATGACTTTGATTTCTTCTTCTTATTATTTTGATATGTTCATCTTTTGCGAGTAAGATACCTTCCTTAGTCAAGAAGGAACAATGTTCAATTTCCCTGGAAAAGCATGATCTTGCTATTGTTGAGGAATTGAGCCTGTTAAAAGACATTTATTGAAGATACTCAGCAGAAACAAGGAGACTAAACGTGGTAAATTTTTTAGCATAGAGTATGAAATAAGATCTAAGCCTGGATAAGAGTCTCGTTTCAAATTTAACACACTCGAGTATTCATTAAGAGTAAAGGGGGATTCTGAATGAAAGCTATTAATTTGGCACACATTTTGACTTTGATTTAACCTGTGGAAGAATTTATCTTGTTTATTTAAAATTGAACGTTTCTTTCCACATTAAAACATATTGATTATATAACCTATTAATGATAACATCATATAAGCCCTACAAGTGTTAATTGCATTTTATATTTAGAATACTGGAGTAATTTGCAATTGTAACGAAAAGCCGTCAATATAGGCAAATATTTAAGTGAAAATCAATAAGTGTTTGATAATCGTAGGCGTACTTATTAGAGATCAACCCACTTGATAACGCAGAACATAATCAGCATCTATAAACGTACATAATCATTTCTATAGATAGATAATATTCTTTACGGATTTACGTGATGTAAAACACTATTTTATGGCAATTTTTATTCAAAACTTAAAAAGATTTGGTGGACTTTCTGCTGTTATATTAGAGATGGAATTAGGGTTACCAACTTTGTTTTTTAAGTTTTCTGGATATAAGGTATAAATTATGGACATTTTTATTATTACATAAAAAATCTGATGTGTCCAACACGTGACTTTCCTATCTAGTTAACCTATTGCAGCATCTCTAAAAATGTTTAGAGGATAAACTAAATATATACATTTTCCACATACATCTACCTCGAAACATTTTTCTATAGATATTCATTGAAAACGAAAATACTGAAAAATTTTAATTTAGCACTTTTCCTCCAATTTTTCCATTACGGTCCATTTTAGAAAAGTCATTTAAAAACAAAAATTATAGAGATCGATATCGCAAACAACTTTTAGATTAACAATTTTCTTAAAAATCAGAATTTTGCACATTTTTTCAAATTTCTCGAATACGGACCATTTCAGGAAAATTTGACATAGAACAAAAATTATAGATAATAATATTGTAAGTAACTTTTATTTAAAGAAATTTCTTCCCCAAACGTAAATAACGAATATATTCCATAAAATATAAAAATGACCACCAATAAAGTACCCCCCAAATGTTCCGACTCTGTCCAAAATCTAATCAGTTCACCTCAGGTCGAAATAAAACTTAAGTTTCAAATTTAATGTTTTTTCCTTTATCCGTTTTTGAGTTTTATTCAAAATTCGAAATTTACACATTTTCTCAAATATCTCGAATACGGTCCATTTTAGAGAAATTATTTATAGGATAAAAATTATAGAGAATTATATTACAAACAACTTTTATTAGAACAAGTTTTATAAAAAATTATTTTTTTTACATTTTGTCAAATTTCTCGAATACGGACCATTTTAGAAAAATTTTGCATAAAACAAAAATTATAGATAATTATATAAGAAGTAACTTTTATTTGAAGAATTTTCTTCTCCAAACGTAAATAACAGATATATTTCATAAAATATAAAAATGACCACCTATAAAGTACCCCCCCAGATGTTCCGACTCTGCCCAAAATCTAATCAGCTCATTGGACGCTGAAACAAAGCTGAAGTTTAAAATTTGGTGTTTTTCTGTGTATCGGTTCATGAGTTATGCGACCTACAGACACACACACACACACACACACACACACACACACACACACACACACACACACACACACACAGACACACACACACACACACACACACACACACAGACATTTTTATCTAATAATATTTATTTAAGTTATTAATAAACATATCTTAAGAATGTTCCATTTTATTATTTATTGATATATCTTATATTTATTTAATACAAATATGCAGAACCAACTCTCCACATTAGACCCCTTATAACAAATTAATTCTTCAAATTTGGTATAATCGACCTAAATTATTTTGTAAAATAAAAGTTTCGAACTTACTAGTTCCATACTTTATTTTATAAAATAATTTATGTGGAAATCATTTAAAATTTAATTTAAAACTACTACCTACTCCTAAAAATTACAATTTGAATTTACCGCCATCTGTCAATTGTCATTTTAGTTCCAGCTCCAAACACAAGGTGTCGCTAATTTGGTTTAAAAGTTTAACATTGGCGTGGGGTCTCTAGAAGATACATGCTTTGTGATTGCACCCCAAATGGCAAACGACCACCGAAATATAGAACTGATGGAATGACGTCCAAAATGGAAGCAGGTGCTGCAAATCCTTTGGACGCCTTAAGTTTTAAAACAAAAACTATTAAGTAACTAAGTCGATAATAGATGGCATTAAATGTGAAAATTTTTATGAAATAGGCTTCAAGGTCCTTCTGTTCAGCTTCTAAAAAAGGTACAAGGGTCTTCAGTCTGTAATGTTGTTAATAAACCAAGTCTTTTCTAAAAGTTATCCAAGTATTCCCTGGACTAAAATTTAGAACCAAGAAGGCAAAATATTCCATATTATTAGACCGCACTCCTGACTCTGGTCACCAAGAACACATTTTAGTTTGTATAAGATTTGTTAATTTAAAGAGCTTGGGAATTAGTATTGAAATATCAACTTGGTAAACATAAAAAATTTATTTATTTAACTTACAGATTTACAGGTAGTTAATTGATACAAAACATGGCCGAATCTAAGAAGAAGTGTCGTGGGAACCTCTGATCTAAAGTAACAAATTTAACTTTAAAACCTGTATAGGTTTAGTAGAATAGATGTATTACTGTTTTTTTGTAATCAATGTGTTAGCTTTTTATATTTGATTTGTTAGCTTTTTGTGTTTGATTTCTTTAGGTATTTTTTACCATGTATGCTCGCTCTTCATACATTCTTGTAAATCATCGAACATCCTTGAGTAATCCTCAAATCTTCGCAAAGCCTCCATTTTTCTACACCTGATTATCCCTTGCGTTGATAGCACGTCACTGATTAATCTTTTTTAGAAGCTAACTTTTTTAAACAGCTTATTCATCACCAAATTTGAAAAAAAAATGCTTAAATATATTTACAACAAATTTAAAATTTTCATTTTAAACTTTCCACATCAATCCATCGATTAACAAAAAGCTCTCTGATTGTCGGCCGAATATAGAAACACCCTGTATACTTTACAGTGATTTTAATCAAAAAATAGAAACTCAGTTGTACCGATAATATATAATATATAAATATGAGTGTTTATTTATTAAAGAAAAAACATATTTAAAGTAACAGCTGTTTTAAAAATATACATACCGGACCCATATTGACAAACCCATGGCTTTCGGCGATATCACCAGCCTCCTGTTTATCAACGTCGCGCTTAAATCTAACCAAAAATGAATTGGTGAATAGATCAAGTGTAGATGCGGCACAAACCGATATCAGAATAAGGTAAAAGGGCCTCCAGAACGGAGGCATCGTCATCTATCAGGTGGTGGATCGGAACTGACGACGAGACACATTTCGGAAGCGTCGCGAGCGTCGCCAGCGCGCACTTTGACGTCACCGGAATCGATTTCGAAGGGCCGGTTGCTGGTTTTGGAAATCCTCAAGTTGTATTTAATAATACTAGGTTTGGGTTTTATTTGAATCGATGAAAAATGGAATAGTACTGTTTGGAAAACTTAAATTCAGCATTTTATAAATATAATAGTTTGGAAATAGGGACGAAACAAAGGCAAACAAACTTTAAGCAAATAGGAATTCAACTTTAATACTCTCTATCTTTAACAGCTTTTAAAATTTAAGAATTTTGTTTGCAAAATAATGTTTCTACACTTTTTATAAATGTTTTCTGAAATTATGAAGTTTATAAATCTATTAGTTTGGAAATAGGGACGAAGCAATGGCTCAATTATCAACTTTAAACAAATAGGAATTCAACTTTAATACTCTCTATCTTTAACAGCATTTAAAATTTAAGAATTTTCTTTGTAGAATAATATTTCTACACTTTTTATAAATGTTTTCTGAAATTTTGAAGTTTATAAATCTATTAGTTTGGAAATAGGGACAAAACAAACACAAACAAACTTTAAGCAAATAGGAATTCAACTTTGATACTCTCTATCTTTAACAGCTATTAAAATTTAAAAATTTTGTTTGTAGAATAATGTTTCTACACTTTTTATAAATGTTTTTTGAAATTTTGAAGTTTATAAATCTATTAGTTTGGAAATAAGGACGAAGCAATGGCTCAATTATCAACTTTAAACAAATGAGAATTCAACTTTAATACTCTCTATCTTTAACATATTTTGACATTTAAGAATTTTGTTTGCAAAATAATATTTCTACACTTTTTATAAATGTTTTCTGAAATTTTGGCCTGACGTAAAATGATTAGATTTTGGACACAGTCGGAACATCTAGGGGGGTACTTTATGGGAGGCCGTTTAACATGTGTTGAAGTTAGAGAGTGTCAAAGTTGAATTCTTATTTGTTATAAATTTGACATTGGAGCCTTTATATCATCACTATTTTTAAACTAATAGATTTATAAACTTCAAAATTTCAGAAAATACTTCTAAAAAGTGTAGAAACATTATTCTGTAAACAACATTGTCAAATTTTAAAATGTGTTGAAGTTAGAGAGTGTCAAAGTTAAATTCTTATTTGTTATAAATTTGACATTGGAGCCTTTATATCACCACTATTTTCAAACTAATAGATCTATAAACTTCAAAATTTTAGAAAATACTTATAAAAAGTGTAGAAACATTATTCTGCAAACAACATTGTCAAATTTTAACATGTGTTGAAGTTAGAGATCTTCAAAATTGACTTCTTATTTGTTATAAATTTGACATTGGAGCCTTTATATCATCACTATTTTTAAACTAATAGATTTATAAACTTCAAAATTTCAGAAAATACTTATAAAAAGTATAAAAACATTATTCTGCAAACAACGTTGTCAAATTTTAACATGAGTTGAAGTTAGAGAGTGTCAAAGTTGAATTCTTATTTGTTATAAATTTGACATTGGAGCCTTTATATCACCACTATTTTCAAACTAATAGATCTATAAACTTCAAAATTTCAGAAAATACTTCGAAAAAGTGTAGAAACATTATTCTGTAAACAACATTGACAAATTTTAACATGAGTTGAAGTTAGAGAGTGTCAAAGTTGAATTCTTATTTGTTATAAATTTGACATTGGAGCCTTTATATCACCACTATTTTCAAACTAATAGATCTATAAACTTCAAAATTTTAGAAAATACTTATAAAAAGTGTAGAAACATTATTCTGCAAACAACATTGTCAAATTTTAACATGTGTTGAAGTTAGAGATCTTCAAAATTGACTTCTTATTTGTTATAAATTTGACATTGGAGCCTTTATATCATCACTATTTTTAAACTAATAGATTCATAAACTTCAAAATTTCAGAAAATACTTCGAAAAAGTGTAGAAACATTATTCTGTAAACAACATTGTCAAATTTTAATATGTGCTGAAGATAGAGAGTGTCAAAGTTGAATTCTTATTTGTTATAAATTTGACATTGGAGCCTTTATTTCACCACTATTTCCAAACTAATAAATTTATAAACTTCAAAATTTCAGAAAATACTTGTAAAAAGTGTAGAAATATTATTCTGCAAACAACATCGTCAAATTTTTACATGTGTTGAAGATAGAGGTGTCAAAGTTAAATTCTTATTTGTTATAAATTTGACATTGGAGCCTTTATTTCACCACTATTTCCAAACTAATAGATTTATAAACTTCAAAATTTCAGAAAATACTTGTAAAAAGTGTAGAAACATTATTCTGCAAACAACATTGTCAAATTTTATCATGTGTTGAAGTTAGAGAGCATCAAAATTGACTTCTTATTCGTTATAAATTTGACATTGGAGCCTTTATATCACCACTATTTCCAAACTATATAAAAACGTTATTCTGCAAACAAAATTGTCAAATTTTAACATGTGTTGAAGTTAGAGAGTGTCAAAATCGAATTCTTATTTATTATAAATTTGACATTGGAGCCTTTATATCATCACTAATTATTCCAAACTAATTGATTTATAAACTTCAAAATTACAGAAAATACTTATAAAAAGTGTAGAAACATTATTCTGCAAACAACATTTTTTACCCATACAAGCAGTTTTTTTAATTTAATTTTTTCGGCCCATTCTAATGTATACTCTTTCCGATATCAAATTTTTATAGTGACATAAAATTCTATTCGAAATACATAATTTTTCCTTTATTTGTTTTTTGTATGAAAACGCGTGATCTTGTTATGAATATAAACGTCCGTATATTTATTTTAAATGATTTGCAATATTTGTATACCAAACATTTTTATTTGCAAAGCTAAAAACATTAATCTTGGATTTGCTTTAAAAGTCACCATAAAAAAATCATCATTTATAACGGTTAATAAAAATATAGTCATAAATATTTTGGACGGTAAAAAAACGCTCTTTTATAATAGGTACATCTTCTTCTCATCGCTATCTTTGATATCTTTATTTTGGTTCGTTATATTATGTCAGAAAATCCCTTGTTATTCGTTTGTGACGATTTTCTTTTATTGTATTTTAGATTAAAAAATTACTATATAAATCCGGTACTATTACTTCATAATAAAACACTTTAATTGTAGCAGGTAAGATTTTCAACTATATAAGTGCCTATCTGTTTAAAATATTTTTGTAACCCATGAAATTGTAGGGATATAGTTCAGAAAAATGATTGGGAAAATATTTGCGATTTTCTTACTGGCTTTAGTTCCCTCTGAAAGTTTATCAGCTGCTACATGTAAGTAATAAGTTAAAAATTATTTTTTATATCTAGATCATACTATATTTTCATAAGGATTCCTTGTAGGATTCGATGGGTGTAATTTTAGTAGCAATTTATTTAAGTTTGATATACCATCGAGATTACAAATCGCAATATATTTCGATGATGGTTATTGGGGTTTTCCGAATTTTCCTCATCTGTAACTCAAATGACATAATCAATCACCTGTAAGTCTTCCTGGAGCGCCACAACAAATAATAATAATTACTGTAATGGCGGACTTTCTTATCTTAATATTTAAAGAAATCCAATTCGAATTAAATGTAACTTTTCTTTATTTTATCCCAACATTTCTATTACAAGTCTTAATGCCTTCTCTTATCTCATTAAATCTTGCAACCTAGTAGAAAATTGATTATTTTTCGCCGTTTCTAACTCTGTTGTAATTGTTTTTACTAATTTTCGTTACCTATATTTTCTATATCTTCAATATTTCTCTCCTAGACAAAGCGTTTGCTTCCACATCGTCTTTTCCTTTTATATAATTGACTACAAAATCATATTCTTAATGATACCGAATAAATAAATGGGCGGTGATCTGTCAAAATGATATGGTCTGAAATGTTTTACGGACCACACAATAGCCAATAATTCTTTTTCAATTCAATATGTATTGAATAATGTCTACAGGAGTAATTTTGGAATCCCTACGAGATGTGTAACAAAAACTTTTATTTTATCTTATCTTAAAAATTATCTTAAGATAAATAATATACAAAATCATCCAAGAGATAAAATTGTGTATTTACTTTTGTTATAAACTAAAATTTATTAACTTTTCGAGTACCTTTCCTTGTAAACAATTACTATTATCGTTTTATTAAGGATTTTAAAAGTAAATACATAATTTATAAAACAAATTATCTATATTTTTCCTTTTTTTTTTTGGACTATGTGTAAGTATAAACCTTATATACCAGACTCGGTTCATGTTGTGTAGGCTTTGATACTGTTTCCTAGCGCCATTTCAAAACCCAACAGTGAATGGTCGAGTGGGGAAACCTTTTAATTTTATTTATAACCACTGACGCAACTTACCCCTTACATAACATTTAAACCCTTACTTTAATTCAACGATCTTTTTATAAAATGTTTAAACGTCATACACGTATTAGGGGATCCAAAAATAGAAATAAATAAAAAATGTAACAACAAGTTTATTTTTTAGCTAATTGCGTTTGTTACCACGGGACATGGGCTGAATACAGAAACGGCAACGGAAAATTCGGCGTTTCTAAAATAGATTCACAATGTACCCACTTAATCTACAGTTTTATCGGACTTAAAGCCAATGGAACAGTTTATAGTCTCGATACATGGCTAGATTATGATCTAAGTAAGCACTTAATATCAATTACAATCATCATTATACTTTTGTTATTATATTATATATTTTTTTTAGATACCCTAAATGCTTTCGCTGCCCTCAAAAACGCCAGAGAAGGCCGAAAAGTTTTGGTAGCCGTAGGTGGATGGAGCCACTCTTCGACATTCCCAGCAGTTGCTGCATCAGCAAGTGCCAGAGCCGTCTTCCTCCAAAGTGCTTTAGAATTCCTCGAAAAACACGGATTCGACGGTCTGGACTTCGATTGGGAATATCCTAATAAACGCGGAGGTACCCAAGTCGACGTTGTAAGTATTTTATTATATTATTTTGGATATACCCATATTTTTTTATTTCTTCTATACTATATTTATTTTAGGAAAACTTTGTTACACTCCTGAAAGAATTTAAAGCAGCATTTAAACCAAAAGGTTTATTGTTAACTGCAGCAGTTTCTGCCACACCTTCATCAGTATCTGCTTCGTATAACGTACCCGGAATATCACAGTAAGTTTGCATTTTTGCCCATATTAAAAATATATATACATATATATTCATTCTTCTATCAATAATGCGTCATTTAATAGCAAAGATGCGTCCGTATATTCGCAGGTTCGCAATCTTTGGTTAAAGACGATCTAAGCTCGGTATATTATTTTTTCATAGTGTACTAATGATAATTGAATCTGCACATGTGAATTTTATATTTTTTCTATTCATTTTGACAGTGTAGCCTTCAGAAACCAGTATTATTAAATTGTTGCCTTTTATTATATACGTCTTGCTTTGAAATTAAAAAAAAAAAAGGGTTCTACAGATTCAGGCATTACCGGTGGCGCACCCTCTATAATAATAAATGCATAGTAGTCTAATGATTAAACATAGTTAATATAAAAGGTAATAATAAAACCAAAAACCATTAAATAGATTGCCTATCAATATCCTGACATTCAGTACAAAATTTAGTTATTCAAATAAATCAAAGTATATATTAAAGATAATGCGGTATTCGGTTATCTAAAAAAAACTTAACGCCCATTTTTTAATGTGAGACACAAGAAGTCAGCGCAAAAGAAAGCTGATGAGTACCAAGAATAACTGACGGTGGTAAATTTCTATGACCTGTTTAAAGGACAATATAAAAATGCAACATCAAAGTATCATGACATTTCATAGAGTGGTAGTCATATCAATGTTTCACCCTTTCAGAAATCCCTCTGCTTCCCTTAAGGGTTTTCGATAAATCCTCAGATCAATCTTTGATCCAGTCCCTAGCTCCCCTTAATCATGTTTAGGGTCCAGCCTGCTTTCCCCTCTCTAGAGCACTAGGAGACGCAGAAACAATGCAATGTTGAATGACGCAATATTGATAGAAGGATGTATATATGTGTATATATAAAATATTAATTTTTATAGATACTTGGATATGATCAATGTTATGACATACGATTTGCACGGTTCCTGGGACGGTGTGACCGGTCATAACGCTCCATTGTATGCGTCATCTAAAGATACAACCGCTGCAGCTCTAGAACTTAACTTGGTAAGTAGATACTTACATGTCAGACCTGCTGACCAATTCTAGTAGATGAAGATATTAATATCATTCATAAATTACCTTTTTAATAATGTGTCACACATAATACAATTAAAATTAAGGGGTTTATGTAGCCAAAGGGAAGGGGTTGTCATATGAAAGACATCTATTTCTGACATAGATGTCCCTTTTGGGTTAAAAATCGATCTATTTTACAAAACAAAATTTTTCTAGGATACTGCTATCTCCAACTGGATTGCACAGGGGGCTCCACCATCAAAAATGAATCTTGGCATTCCCTTTTATGGAAGAACATTTACGCTTGCTAATACTAATGACGTCTCGTTAGGAGCTGCTACCATTAATGGTGGAACTCCCGGAACTTATACCGAGGAATCGGGATATTTGGGTTATAACGAGGTAATTATTTTATGGTATGACAGGTATGAGCTTGAAGATATTGTTTGATTTTGGAGCTTTCCTAACAAGCTCTGAACCATCCAAAATATGGATGTGTACGTATTTTTTACTACAATAAACTAAAAAAATCAAAATTTCTTTATTAGATTGTTGAATTGTTAAATGGCGGAGGGTGGACCACAAAATGGGACGACGAACAAAAAGTTCCTCACATGTATAAAGGTAACCAATGGGTTGGATACGACGACCCAACATCTATAACCGAAAAGGTAAGCTATCTATTATTTTTGAAAAGGTTTTAAATACTCTAATGACCTTTTCTGTTCTTATACTCTAATCCTCTTATACTTTTATACTCTTATACTCATAATCTTATACTCTTATAATATTATACTCTTATACTTTTATACTCTTATACTCTTATACTCTTATACTCTTATACTCTTATACTCTTATACTCTTATACTCTTATACTCTTATACTCTTATACTCTTATACTCTTATACTCTTATACTCTTATACTCTTATACTCTTATACTCTTATACTCTTATACTCTTATACTCTTATAATCTTATACTCTTATAATCTTATACTCTTATACTCTTATACTCTTATACTCTTATACTTTCATACTAAATATTATAACTCATTTATGATGATATTTTTATTACCATTTGCAGGTAAAATATGCGCAATCTAAGGGTCTTGGTGGTGTAATGGTTTGGGCTATAGAAACTGATGATCATGCTGGTTTATCTGGAGTGAAAAACCCTCTCTTAACTGCTATAACTACTCAGTTGGTAAGTAAAATAATTTCCACGTTATATTTTCTCCTAAATTCTAGATAGAAGAAAATATATTCTTAGTTTCAAATCAATACAGTTCCATACATAGACAACATGTGGTCGCTGGCTGACCACCCAATCAATTTTACTTGCAGGCTGCTGGTTCTCCTAATTCACTACCAGTCAAATCTAAAACAACGAGTACGACAAAGGCAGCGGGGACAACTCCGGCAACTACTACAACAAAAACAACTACAAATGTTAATCAAAATGCTAAGAACGGCGTCTCAGCAAATACCTGTACCCAAGATGGATTTATTGGCGATTCTAAAAATTGTAACAAATTTTATCAATGCATAAAAAAAGCTGATGGAACTTACGGTGCTTACGCTTTTAATTGCGTTGCAGGACTTGTATTTGATCCAAAAAGCAACGCGTGCAACTGGAAAACATTAGTTCCAGACTGCTCTTCTTAAATGTGTCTAAATACTACAAAATTTAATGTTTATTTTTGTAAACGATTCGTTATTACAGTTTATTAAAATGTTTTACGCACATATCATTTGTTTCAATCTAATTCTTCTACTTTTAATGATATTTCAGCAGGCGGATGCTATTAAAAATGGGGTTGTAGCATTTAAAAAAAATTTAATCTGTTTGTTTTCGTCCCCCTTGTTATTTAAAAATAAATTGACTGCACCAGAAGAGAGTATCAAAGTTGAATTCCTATTTGTATAAAATTGACAATGGAGCCTTTGTTTCGTCACTATTCCTAAACTAATAGATTTATAAACTTCAATATTAATCAAGACCACAATTCTTGAAATATTTACAAGAAATTTTGGTGAGACCTACTAAAAGTTAATTTCTAATAAAAATAAAAATCTGAAATAGATAGGGTCATTAAAAAAAATTTTTTATTGATTTTTTTTTAATAAAAATAACATTTTATTTTTTTTGTATAAAGACACCAATAATAACGAACATTACTCCAAATAACCATCCACTAATTAGTTTTTTAGATACCAATAGAATATTTTACCATTTCAAATTATAAAAGATAACATAAAATACTTAATAGATAAAATAATTCATACAAATAAAATAAATTCACGATTCTGACGTTGCGTAGAGAGAAGAATGAAATAGAGGTATTTCCCCATCCAGTTTTGATACAAATACATGGCCAATAATTGGCTCATTATTGTAACGTTGATCTTAACGATGTTGTTTTTATTTTTATTATTGAGTTTCGGTATCGCGACAACCATTGCCAAAGACGACAAATTAAGTAAGTTATTTTTGTTTTAACCAAATATTTGTTAATTGATAAGTTACATTTTTTATAAATATTTAAATCCACTTTATAAAATACGGTATTTACACATTTTTGTTATCAAACTTGATATACAGAGGGTGTTAAATAAGTTTAACCGTGAATGAGGAATACCGATATGCCATTAAGGTATTTATTCCAACATAAAGATGGCAGAAGAGTGGGATCTCGTCAATATTTTGGTGAAATCGAAGTCTTTAGAAAAATGTGAACGTCTTTAAATCAATCACCAACATCACAATTCTTGAAGTATTTATAAAAAGTGTAGAAACATTATTCTGCAAACAAATTTTTTAAATTTTAACAGCTGTTAAAGATAGAGAGTATTTGGAATTCCTATTTGTTTAAAGTTGATATTGGAGCCTTTGTTTCGTCGCTATTTCAAAACTAATAGATTTATAAACTTCAAAATTTCAGAATATATTGATGCATAGTGTAAGAACATTATTTTGCAAACAAAATTTTTAAATGGTAACAGCTGTTAAAGATAGAGAGTATCAAAGTTGAATTCCTATTTATTTAAAGTTGATATTGGAGCCTTTGTTTCGTCACTATTTCCAAACTAATAAATATATCAGCTTCAAAATTTCAGAAAATATTTACAAAAAGTGTAGAAACATTATTCTACAAACAAAATTTTTAAATGTTAACAGCTGTTAACGAAAGAGAGTATTAAAGTTGAATTCCTATTTGCTTAAAGTTTGTTTGCCTTTGTTTCGTCCCTATTTTCAAACTAATAGATTTATAAACTTCAGAATTTCAGAAAACATTTATAAAAAGTGTAGAAACATTATTTTGCAAACAAAATTTTTAAATGGTAACAGCTGTTAAAGATAGAGAGTATCAAAGTTGAATTCCTATTTATTTAAAGTTGATATTGGAGCCTTTGTTTCGTCACTATTTCCAAACTAATAAATTTATCAGCTTCAAAATTTCAGAAAATATTTACAAAAAGTGTAGAAACATTATTCTACAAACAAAATTTTTAAATGTTAACAGCTGTTAAAGGTAGAGAGTATCAAAGTTGAATTCCTATTTGTTTAAAGTTGATATTGGAGCCTTTGTTTCGTCATTATTTCCAAACTAATAGCTTTTTCAGCTTCAAAATTTCAGAAAATATTTACAAAAAGTGTAGAAACATTATTCTACAAACAAAATTTTTAAATATTAATAGCTGTTAAAGGTAGAGAGTATCAAAGTTGAATTCCTATTTGTTTAAAGTTGATATTGGAGTCTTTGTTTCGTCATTATTTCCAAACCAATAGATTTATCAGCTTCAAAATTTCAGAAAATATTTACAAAAAGTGTAGAAACATTATTCTGCAAACAAAAATTTTTTAATGTTAACAGCTGTTAAAGATAGAGAGTATCAAAGTTGAATTCCTATTTGTTTAAAGTTGATATTGGAGCCTTTGTTTCGTCATAATTCCCAAACTAATAGATTTTTCAGCTTCAAAATTTCAGAAAATATTTACAAAAAGTGTAGAAACATTATTATGTAAACAAAAATGTTTTAATGTTAACAGCTGTTAACGATAGAGAGTATTAAAGTTGAATTCCTATTTGCTTAAAGTTTGTTTGCCTTTGTTTCGTCCCTATTTTCAAACTAATAGATTTATAAAATTCAAAATTTCAGAAAACATTTATAAAAATTGTAGAAACATTATTTTGCAAACAAAATTCTTAAATTTTAACAGCTGTTAAAGATAGAGAGTATCAAAGTTGAATTCCTATTTGTTTAAAGTTGATATTGGAGCCTTTGTTTCGTCACTATTTCCAAACTAATAAATTTATCAGCTTCAAAATTTCAGAAAATATTTACAAAAAGTGTAGAAACATTATTCTACAAACAAAATTTTTAAATGTTAACAGCTGTTAAAGGTAGAGAGTATCAAAGTTGAATTCCTATTTGTTTAAAGTTGATATTGGAGCCTTTGTTTCGTCATTATTTCCAAACTAATAGATTTTTCAGCTTCAAAATTTCAGAAAATATTTACAAAAAGTGTAGAAACATTATTCTACAAACAAAATTTTTAAATGTTAACAGCTGTTAAAGATAGAGAGTATCAAAGTTAAATTCCTATTTGTTTAAAGTTGATATTGGAGCCTTTGTTTCGTCATTATTTCCAAACTAATAGATTTATCAGCTTCAAAATTTCAGAAAATATTTACAAAAAGTGTAAAAACATTATTCTACAAACAAAATTTTTAAATGTTAACAGCTGTTAAAGATAGAGAGTATCAAAGTTGAATTCCTATTTGTTTAAAGTTGATATTGGAGCCTTTGTTTCATCACTATTTCCAAACTAATAGATTTATAAAATTCAAAATTTCAGAAAACATTTATAAAACATGTAGAAACATTATTTTGCAAATAAAATTCTTAAATTTTAACAGCTGTTAAAGATAGAGTATCAAAGTTGAATTCCTATTTGCTTAAAGTTTGTTTGCCTTTGTTTCGTCCCTATTTCCAAACTAATAGATTTATAAACTTCAAAATTTCAGAAAACATTTATAAAAAGTGTAGAAACATTATTCTGCAAACAAAATTCTTAAATTTTAATAGCTGTTAAAGATAGAGAGAATCAAAGTTGAATTCCTATTTATTTAAAGTTGATATTGGAGCCTTTGTTTCGTCACTATTTCCAAACTAATAGATTTATCAGCTTCAAAATTTCAGAAAATATTTACAAAAACTTTAGAAACATTATTCTGCAAACAAAATTTTTAAATGTTAACAGCTGTTAAAGGTAGAGAGTATTAATGATTCAAAATTTCTTGAAGGCGGGTCCGATATAGAGATATGAAACGGTAATCATCAAGACCACAACTTTTGAAATATTTATAATAAAATTTGATGAGACCTTCAAAAATGTTCTTTCTTATAAAAATGAAAATATGAAACAGATAGGGTCACTTCTTAAACTTATGGAATGATTCAAAAAGTCCTAAAAGCGACACCGTTGTAAACATTTTAAAGTAAATGACATTCAATGTTTTTATTTATTACTATGTTTTTTTGTAATTGAACTTTTTATATTTGATTTTTAAACCTTTATGTTTGATTTCTTTAGGTAAAGAATAAAATTTGTTTTTTAAATTAACATAATTCATTGAAATCCGAAATAATCTGTAACAAATGCTATTCCAACGACGCCAAATGCATTGAATGTTTCCCTCACATTTTTATAATCCGATTTATTTCATTTAGTAAATGTCGTCTGCTATTTCGTGAATGGATATGGAGTTACCATTGCCCCTCCAGAAACACTTGATCCCAAATTATGCACACATATTCTATACGCTTTCGTAAATTTAGACATTAGTGGGAATTTAACATATCAAAGAAAAGAAGTTGATATAGACAAAGGTAAGTATTTTCTTTATCTTTCTTTTTTTATAAAAAAAAAATACTATAAAGTATTATCAAATTTACTTTCGACTGTATTTTTATAGATAAATAAATCTACCTAACCTCTGACCTATAAAGTAATTGAAAACAAAAAGTAACCGCATTTTTATGAATTATTTAACATTTAAAATCATACCAAACAAAATATTTGTAAATCACAATATTGTTTAAGTATCTAATTAATTTTTTTTCAACGATTTTCACATAACAGTTATGTGTCATTGACTTTTTAACTATAGAAAATAAAGTTCGCAATATGATAAATAATGAATCATTATTTATTTGTTAAATAATATTTGAAAATGTTACAATTTTAGGAATGTACAAACGAGTTGTTTCTTTAAAAAAAATCAATCCTGCACTCAAAGTTCTGCTAAGTGTAAGCGGTGACAAAAGTATATTTTCACGAGTTGCAATGGACGATGAGAAGAGGCAAAATTTGGCGAATAGCGCAGTGAATTTTTGTAAATCTTTCGGTTTCGACGGATTGGACATCGATTGGGAAAAACCGAGTGAAGAGGATGAGGTAAGCTTTATATTACTTTTAAAAGATTTAAAACTACAATATATATACAGTGTCGTCTAAAATTGCGTTTCCGCAAAGAGATTCAGTAATTTCACGATATTCGAAGGGTTTGAAGTTATATTTCCAATCTCATGGGCTTTATAAAGCCGCTATAACCTCTCTATATATATATGATATTCGAAATTATTGCATGTATAGCAGGGATAGAAGTTGAAAAGGCTTTTCAACTTAAATTGACAGTTTTCCTGCGGAGCTAACTAAAGTGGACGCGACGTGGTTTAACGTTTACCCCTACTCCACCTACCAAAAGCCTTTCCAACTTCCGCCTTATCATTTTTTCTATGCGTAAACGTTATAAAAGTCTTTTTTTTTTGTTTAATTTTATTTATTTCTGTTATTAATTACAGGATAATTTTGTAGATTTGCTCAAAGATTTGAGAAATGCTCTAGACGAAGGAGGATGGTTACTGAGCACTGCTGTTTATCCGTATCCGTACTCAGGTTATAATGCAACAGGAATAACAAAGTATGAAATGATAAAAAATGTTTCTAAAGTAGCTTATGGCAAAAAAACAGATATCTACGCGCGGCTTTGAATTAAATCCAAAAATAACCAAGCAAAGGGGTAACGAACTATAAGTAAAAATCTAACTTTTTAAAAATTCACCGCTGAGTTGTCCGTAAGGCAAGAAAATAGGATTTTCAGATCAAATTTGGGGGAATTTTAACAGAAATAATTGATTTTGTTAAATAACTTGACTATCGTTTAAACTAGGAAGAATTGGCTTGCATCATTAAATTTTTCTTTAAATTCTCTACAAACTGGTTTTTTAAAAGTCACCGCTGAGTTGTTCGTAAGGCTAGAAAATGGGATTTTCACTCTCACTCCACTCTCACTCCACTCTCACTCCACTCTCACTCCACTCTCACTCCACTCTCACTCCACTCTCACTCCACTCTCACTCGACTCTCACTCCACTCTCACTTCACTCTCACTCCACTCTCACTCCACTCCACTCTCACTCCACTCTCACTCCACTCTCACTCTCTCACTTACACTCTCTATAACTTGGCTATCGTTTCAATTAGGAAGAAGTGGTCTGCATCATTAAATTCCTCTTTAAATTCTCTACAAACTGGTTTTTAAAAGTCACCGCTGAGTTGTTCGTAAGGCTAGCAAATGGGATTTTCACTCTCACTCCACTCTCACTTACACTTTCTATAACTTGACTATCGTTTCAACTAGGAAGAAGTGGTTTGCATCATTAAATTCCTCTTTAAATTCTCTACAAACTGGTTTTTAAAAAGTCACCGTTGAGATGTTTGTAAGGCTAGAAAATGGGATTTTCACTCTCACTCCACTCTCACTCTCTCACTTACACTCTCTATAACTTGACTATCGTTTCAACTAGGAAGAAGTGGTTTGCATCATTAAATTCCTCTTTAAATTCTCTACAAACTAGTTTTTAAAAAGTCACCGTTGAGATGTTTGTAAGGCTAGCAAATGGGATTTTCACTCTCACTCCACTCTCACTTACACTTTCTATAACTTGACTATCGTTTCAACTAGGAAGAAGTGGTTTGCATCATTAAATTCCTCTTTAAATTCTCTACAAACTGGTTTTTAAAAAGTCACCGTTGAGATGTTTGTAAGGCTAGAAAATGGGATTTTCACTCTCACTCCACTCTCACTCGCTCACTTACACTCTCTATAACTTGACTATCGTTTCAACTAGGAAGAAGTGGTTTGCATCATTAAATTCCTCTTTAAATTCTCTATAAACTGATTTTTTTAAAGTCACCGCTGAGTTATTCGTAAGGCTAGAAAATGGGATTTTCACTCTCACTTACACTCTCTATAACTGGACTATCGTTTCAACTAGGAAGAAGTGGTTTGCATCATTAAATTCCTCTTTAAATTCTCTCAAACTGGTTTTTTAAAAGTTACAGTTGAGTTGTTCGTAAGGCTAGAAAATGGGATTTTCACTCTCGCTCCACTCTCACTCTCTCTCACTTACACTCTCTATAACTTGACTATCGTTTCAACTAGAAAGAAGTGGTTTGCATCATTAAATTCCTCTTTAAATTCTCTACAAACTGGTTTTTTTAAAGTCACCGCTGAGTTGTTCGTAAGGCTAGAAAATGGGATTTTCACTCTCACTCCACTCTCACTCTCTCACTTACACTCTCTATAACTTGACTATCGTTTCAACTAGAAGTGGTTTGCATCATTAAATTCCTCTTTAAATTCTCTACAAACTGGTGTACTAATTAATACTGGGTTGTCTGTAGGGCAAGATAGTAGGATTTTAATCTAAATAGTATGAATACTTTTAGATGGAAAATCTCTGCAATGGTTTTATGTTTAAATAGATTTTTAACGGGTTCAATTTAACTTATTCTTGGGATATTTTTATAGACGAGATTCGTTCTTTGGCTAATAGGTGATATCGTTATTAAATATTAATAATCACTTCTTACACTTACATATTAAAAAAATTGGCAACATCCCTATACATTTTAAATGAATTTTTCTAAAAATTAATTTTATTTAGATACGTTCATATGCTAAATGTGATGTGCTACAACTATTACGGTCCATGGAGTCAATACACAGGTTTCAACTCTCCTTTATTTGGATCTTCGATAGAGAGTGACTACGAGAAAAGACATCTTAATATTGCTAATTCGATAAAAAATTGGATAGAAGCCGGTGCAACAAAAGCCAAAATTAATGTTGGAATACCATTTTACGGACGTACTTTTACTCTAGTTAATCCTCAAGACCATGGAGTTCATGCTCCGATTCTTGGAGCTGGAATACCTGCTTCTCCTTCTTATAGCACAGTAAGTTATAATTTTGTTGTTGAACTTGTTCAAAAATATTCTAAGATAGACATGCTTTCTTTCAAATATTTAAATCAATATTTCCTAGAGTTTAAACAAGAAATAATGCATATATATTGAAATTTTAAAATTTGGGCAACCAGTACCAGCGTAATTTGAGTGTTGAAATTTGGTCAGTGAGGAGACAAACGAGATTTTATGCCAGGCGTTTTGAGGAAACATATTTTCAATTCTTAAAAAGCAGAATAACATTATCAGGAATTAACAAAATGATTCAGTGATTTAAATTCGTAAAACAAGTTAATAAAAAAGTATTATTACAAGTTACTTACTTTTTTTTGTAAGAAGGAATATTTTATTAATAATTTGGATTTTATAATCATTTAAGTTATAAAGGTTAATTTAAATTTAAAATATTGTAACGCCTGAATCCAAGACACTGGTAAAATATTAATACGAGTCATAGCCGGAGAAAAACAAAATTAAATGAAGATAATTCGTATAAATAATGATATGAAAGTGTGATAGTGGGTCAAATATAAAAAAATATTGAAATTACTATTAAATTAAATAAAAAAAAATATCTTTTAATCAATTTTCTTTTAGATATGCACAACTTTTAATAATTATACATATGTATGGGATGATGAACAAAAAGTTCCTTACAAATATTATGGATCGCAATGGCTGACCTATGAAAATGAGCGATCTATTGCAATAAAGGTTAGTATTAAATTAATATTTATATAAAATCAAAAATACTTTTAATTGTCTAGTAAAGCCCAATCTTTTCACCTTTGAGTTTTATAATTAATTATATTAAAGTTAAATTCCTATTTGTTAAAGTTAATATTGAAACCTTTGTTTCGTCCCTAATTCCAAAACTAATAGATTTATAAACTTCAAAATTTCAGAACACATTTATAAAGAGTGTGGAATCATTATTCTACAAAGACAATTTTTAAATTTCATTAGCTGTCAAATTTAGAGAGTATTAAAGTTAAATTCATATTTGGTAAAGTTAATATTGAAACCTTTGTTTCGTCCCTAATTCCAAAACTAATAGATTTATAAACTTCAAAATTTCAGATCACATTTATAAAGAGTGTAAAATCATTATTCTACAAACAAAATTCTTAAATTCCATCAGCTGTTAAAGATAGAGAGTATTAAAATTAAATTCCTATTTGTTAAAGTTAATATTGAAACCTTTATTTCGTCCCTAATTCCAAAACTAATAGATTTATAAACTTCAAAATTTCATAAAACATTTATAAAGAGTGTAGAATCATTATTCTACAAACAAAATTCTTAAATTCCATCAGCTGTTAAATTTAGAGAGTAATAAAATTAAATTCCTATTTGTTAAAGTTAATATTGAAACCTTTGTTTCGTCCCTAATTCCAAAACTAATAGATTTATAAACTTCAAAATTTCAGAACACATTTATAAAGAGTGTAAAATCATTATTCTACAAACAAAATTCTTAAATTCCATCAGCTGTTAAAGATAGAGAGTATTAAAATTAAATTCCTATTTGTTAAAGTTAATATTGAAACCTTTATTTCGTCCCTAATTCCAAAACTAATAGATTTATAAACTTCAAAATTTCATAAAACATTTATAAAGAGTGTAGAATCATTATTCTACAAACAAAATTCTTAAATTCCATCAGCTGTTAAATTTAGAGAGTAATAAAATTAAATTCCTATTTGTTAAAGTTAATATTGAAACCTTTGTTTTGTCCCTAATTCCAAAACTAATAGATTTATAAACTTCAAAATTTCAGATCACATTTATAAAGAGTGTAAAATCATTATTCTACAAACAAAATTCTTAAATTCCATCAGCTGTTAAAGATAGAGAGTATTAAAATTAAATTCCTATTTGTTAAAGTTAATATTGAAACCTTTATTTCGTCCCTAATTCCAAAACTAATAGATTTATAAACTTCAAAATTTCATAAAACATTTATAAAGAGTGTAGAATCATTATTCTACAAACAAAATTCTTAAATTCCATCAGCTGTTAAATTTAGAGAGTATTAAAGTTAAATTCCTATATGTTAAAGTTAATATTGAAACCTTTGTTTCGTCCCTAATTCCAAAACTAATAGATTTATAAACTTCAAAATTTCAGAACACATTTATAAAGAGAGTAAAATCATTATTTTACAAACAAAATTCTTAAATTCCATCAGCTGTTAAAGATAGAGAGTATTAAAATTAAATTCCTATTTGTTAAAGTTAATATTGAAACCTTTGTTTCGTCCCTAATTCCAAAACTAATAGATTTATAAACTTCAAAATTTCAGAACACATTTATAAAGAGAGTAAAATCATTATTTTACAAACAAAATTCTTAAATTCCATCAGCTGTTAAAGATAGAGAGTATTAAAATTAAATTCCTATTTGTTAAAGTTAATATTGAAACCTTTATTTCGTCCCTAATTCCAAAACTAATAGATTTCTGTATCTGTAACGTGTGGAAGATGGGTTACCCCTACGACATTTAGGCCTCACTAGGCCCATTGTGCATCCTCCTAGCTCGTGAGCCAGTCTTTCAATTTATTCTTTATTTCATTTTTGTTTTAGACCAAATATATCGTATCCCAAAATGTTGGAGGAATTATGATTTGGCAAATAGGCCAAGACGATATGAAAGGCGACTGTGGACAAAAACAAGGATTACTCCGAATTATTAACGATAATTTGAATGTTGAAAATATAACCACGAATTAGAAGGAAAAAAAATATATTTATGTATTATATTCTTACAGTATTTGATATTTTTAAATAGTAGGAATTTTGTTTTATAAAAAATAGATAATAAATTAATATTGACGTGTTAATTATAGACCAGCAGATTTTTATAAAAAAAGATATTAATAAATATAAATAAATCATTCCTTTACTCAGAATTCACATAGCACTTCTAAGGGCAGTTAAATTTTACCACTGATTAGTTTTAGAATCAAATTTTTATTAAAAAACGAATTTTTGAATTTGGAATAAATTTTTCAAATCTTAGAAAGTAACGAGAGATTTTAAAAATATATATACACATCAACAACGATTAGAATAAACTGGGGACTGTTATTAGCTGATTGTATAAGAGCATGAACATAAAACATTTTCAATTAATTAGTTATGAATGCGAAAGTTGAGAGAAAATTGAAAATGTTGTACCAGGTTCTGTCTATCACATGCCGAACTATATCGGCGATCGATAAAGAGTGAAGTTAATTTAGAAAGTCATATTTTACATTGGATCGCAATAATTTTAATTCAAATGTACACAGTTTCCTTTAAACCTTCAGAATGTAGGCACATGAAGCACAAGATGAGTTCTAATTCGTTGCTACCTCAACAATCCGAAGTAAGTTTAATTTTTAATAATAATATTAGAAATGTTTTTTTTTTAATTGTAGTTATACCTAATTTATTTTTTACAGAAATTGATATCTTTTTATATGTTACAAACATATTGAAATTGAAGAGGTTGTTGCAATGTTGGACACATCACAGTGTTGTTATGATAAAAAAAATTAAATTAAAAATTAAAAGTTTTATTTATTATTTATTTATTGATTTACGTTAAACATTGTTCAATCTACTTTATTTGAAATGTCTGAAATAAGAATTTTTTATTATTAATTCTGAAGAGATTATATTTCTGCCATTATTATGTTCCCAAATACCTTCCGTTTATTGTATACAGGGTATTTTATTTTATTAAAAAAAATTCATTGTATATATTTTTGCAAAACTTTCTCAGTTTTGATACCCAGCTAGCACATAAATATAATATCTTTAATATCCGCAACTGCAATATTTTTATAGCACATCTCATAGAGGTTACAAAGTGAAGTTTGGAGAACATCGCACTAGGAGTTTTACAGTACTTTCCCCCGGAAGTCATTCTGAAACGTTTTATAGATGTTAGAATGTGAATTATGGAAATTTCATCGTGATTCTAGATTACTCGTTGTTTGTTTCAGCCTACTCGATATGCTAATACTTATCAATTGGAATCAAAAAATCCATTCAATCCAGATAAAGTAGATAAAATTTTAAAAAGCGTAATGTTAGAGGCATTCGAAAATTTAACTTACGATCCCGAAATGTGTGCCAAACAAGCAAAATGGGCGTCGCTTATGATTAGGATGAAAGTTAAAGAATTAAATTTTGAAAGGTAAGCGATTTTTTTCAACTTCGAATAAAAACAGATTTAATTTAACACGAAGTAAAAGAATTTTCGGAAATTCATTACTTAAATAGAGTTGAATTTAATTTTACATAATGGCGGACACAGCGTCCCTTTTTACTTTCCTATCTGTGTGTGTGTGTCTCATGAAAGAAAACAAAGAAAAACACTAAACTTTAAACTTAAGCTTTATTCTGGCCTGCCATGAACTGATTAGATTTTGGGCAGAGTCGGAACATCTGGGAGGTACCTAATAGGAAATCATTTTTATATTTTATAAAATAAATCTGTTATTTACATTTGGAGAAAAAATTCTTTAAATAAAAGTTATGTCTTATATTATTCTTTATAATGTTTGTTTTATACAAAATTTGCCCAGTCTACGGGTTTAACTCTTTCTAAAAAAATTCTCTAGGTTCCTTAGAGGCACTTGAACCTCTTGAGACCTTGACTTTGGTCGGAACAGACACCAAAGAATTTTTTGAGCGAAAGTTCTCAATATTTGCAGTTTTTATGACATTGGGCCCAGTCTACGGGCTTAACCCTTTCCAAAAAAAATTGTCAAGTCCCTCAGAGGCACTTGAACCTCTTGAGACCTGGACTTAGGTTGGAACTGACACCAAAGAATTTTTTTGAGCGAAAAATCTCAAAATTTCGAGTTTTGATGACATTAGACCCAGTCTACGGGTTTAACCCTTTTCAAAAAAATTCTGTAGGTCCCTTAGAGACACTTGAACCTCTTAAGACCCGAACTTGAGTCGGAACTGGCACCAAAGAATTTTTTTTTAACCGAAAAATCTTAAAATTCCGAAGTTTTATGACATTGGGCCCGGTATACGGGCCTAACCCTTCCCAAAAAAATTCGTCAAGTCGCTCAGAGGCACTTGAACCTCTTGAGACCAAAGCGCATGACGTACTTATCTGTTAGAGAACTTCCTTATCGGCTGAAACAGTACAGACTACAGGGACGGCTGTAGGGGTTAATATTGTTCAGAAATTAGTAATACTGAATGCTTATTGTTTTAATTACCAAAGATTGCAAGCTACCTCGTTTTAAACGTTCATTTTTTATTTTTTAGGTATAAAATAGTATGTGTCGTAACAATAGGAGAAAAATGTCGTCAAGATTTATCAGTAATGTGCAAATTTCTTTGGGATTGCGAAAAAGACCGTTTCGCCACATTTACTATCGAGAATAACTATGTTTTTGGAATCGCATACTGTTTTGGGTTGTATTACGAATAAATTGATCAATTTGTTTATTTATTTGTTGCAATGTACCTAAAAAAAAACAGTACCTACACAGTTTTAACTAAATTTATGGCAATAAAGCAAAAACTTCCACCTTCCCGAAGTCACCCATCTAATCATTACAATTTAAATAGGAACGGGAACAGTATAGGAACACAATGCTATTGAATAGACAGAAATCATCTTGAAAATAATTAAAAGGTTGGTAAAAAAATAAATTTTAAGATAACAAAAAAAAAAAGTGGACACATTGGACACATTTCTGTGTTGATATTTATTATCCTACCTTACTATTAATTATTTTAACATGTTCTAATCCCTAGCTTTACCCTATTTTAGACTACCTTAATTTATTATATTCTACATTATCTAGTTTTTTCTATTTCTAACCTATTCTGTCTTACCATAATTACTATTCTCCCATACAGTATAAAAACGGAATCGGGCCCATCGTTGAACCTTGGGATACACCAAGATGAAGAAAAATTTAGAAAACAAAAATTGCTATACATACATATATTAATTTATGTATGCCTTCTTTTTTCTTTATTACCGATACTCATATTCGACGCCTGCTGATCAAAATAATGATTTAATTAAAAATCCTTTGTTTCAAAATTAAAACGACCGTCTGGTTAGCGAAATTATTACAATTCTATTCGTTATCTGGAAAATTGCCAAACTGCGTAACACCTATGTCTGTCCGTGTTTACGTTTTCCCTAAATATTATTTATAAAACATGTCGCAAAGATTTTATAATCAACAGTTGTCGAAATAAATGCTTAGTGAAAATGCAGCGAATACTAAGTGTGGAAATAGGAAAAAATATCTTCGAATCGTCCGAATACATCACCAAAAGATTATGTTGTAGTGTAGTTCTTACTGTGACATTTCTGTCGATGATTGCAGGTGAGTGTGAAATCAAAAAAATTCGGCATCCAATTTTAAAATAAACTCGGTGTCATCGCTGGCAAAGTATCTTAATATAACTTCAAGAACGGTAATATTACGGAATTTTTATTAATTGCAAACTATACTATACAGGGTGTTTCATTGTCGAATGCGCGTAGATATAAAATGAAAGCAAAAATTCAATAATTAATAATTTAAAACCTATGGAATAAATGTTTGAAAATATCAAAAAAATTGTTAAAATCAATTTGTCTTTACAAAGCTAAAACTTTTAAAAATATTCATTGAATTGTTTTTTTAACTGCCAGACGATTTTAGTGGTTGTTAGTGCCCGTCAGACAGGGTGGAACTTAAATAAATCAAGGCGTTGAACAGCGGCACCTCTTTCTGAATCATTAAGCTTTTTGGGAGCCATTTTATGTAAAAATTACGAAATCTGTAAAACTAAGATATTTCAAACAGTCCGGCAACAGCGCGACTCGCAATTATTTTACTTTTTCTGAATTATTAACACGTTGACTGCCAACTACGAGATTACTCGTAGATTACATTCTTATCTAGGACGCCAACTACGAGTTATCTCTATCGTTCTGTGTTTACTTGCCATTTTTGTGCAGCTACGATTATACTTGAAATATCAGTGCTAATATCGATAGATGGCTTCTGGGAAAAGAACAAAAAGACAATGCTGGGCTTGCATGAACAGAAAATTTATTAAAAAACGATCAAAAAATATAACAAAAATTAGTACAAATTCAAGAAATAAAATAATGTGATTAAATCAAATTATCATTTTGGACCAGATGTCTCAAAATTGCCGTGGCAGTCAACGTGTGTTAACCTTTTTTGGGAGCCATTTTACGTAAAAATTACTAAATCTGTAAAACTAAGATATTTCAGACAGTCCGGCAACAATGCCATTCGCAATTAATTAGGCATTCCAACGACCTGTCAAACAATAGGTGCCAGTTGGAAATTCTTGTATATTTAAGGGGGTAGCGACATTGTCTTGCAACTTGGACACTATTTTTATTCGAAGTAGTACTCGCCAAGTCTGCCAATTTATGAAAAAATGTATAGGTTGGTTTTTAAATATTATTTTCATTGTGTTTGACATAAAATATTTAAATGTAATCCATTATTCATGATTTTACGTAAAGTAGATAGAATACACCATATGTCGCCACCCTTAGATATACCAAACCTGCCACTGGTAATTCATTTGTTTGGAATGCCTAATTATTAGGTCGTTTCCTTTGCATCGAAAGTGTAGCACTGGGCTACGATATTTCTGAAAATATTGTTCCATCCATACAATTTGTATAAATGGAACGATATTTTCAGAAGTGGTGTAGCTCGGTCCTACACTTTCGATGCAAAGGAAAAGACCTATTATAATCTGAAAGTTTAAAACGTGGCAACATCGGAGTTCCGGAGCGACGACAGAATGTCAATTCTGTAATTACCGTTCTATGACTCGGCGGCAACTTTGTAATATCGCTTTGATTAGACGCTAACTTTGCTAGGTTATCCCGAAAAATTTATATGAAAAAATGTAATTTACTAATTCATTATTTGCTATCTTAGTTAATATATATTCACAAATCCTTTTGTATTTGCAGTAGAAAATGATAAAATACCATTCAACGAATAATCTATCTAACAGATTGTTTTCCAAAGTTATAAAGGTTTAATATGATTCTGAGAATAATAAAATAGCTTGTACTCACCAAATTGCAGTATCAGTCGCCTCACTAACATATATTTGCACCAAATAGTTTTATTTTCACTTAATACACGTTAAAAAACTGTTTTTGTCATCAACACCCAAAACTGTCGATTTTCGACAAATTTGACCAAACGGTGGGACGCGAATTTTGTAACAGGGGACGTAAAATACGAAAACAAAGCACGTATTAAGCTAATTAAAATGTAATATTTAATTTGTGAACCAACAGGAACTGAAATATGAATAACAACACGTATTTTGATTCATTGATATTGATCGCGATCAAAATGTCAAAACCTCACTCTCTTGTCTGTCACTAGACGGCAGCACACAACAAGCTTGGATTCGCGGAAGATGTAGAAAACAGGGCCGGTACCAGGGGTCGTGTTATAATATATTTATTTAAAAAAAACTCCCAATTTTTATTAAAATCCGAAGAGAATGTTTTATTGAAACGGGGGTCTGATCAAAACAACGATTTATAACCAACTGACTCAACATAAATCATTTTCTAAACAAAAACCCCAGAAAGAATCATTCGATGATTCAGCCGTTTACAATAGAATATTAAACAATTCTTATTGCTATCGGTAATGAGCGTCATATACAGGGTGAGTATTTCTTAAATTTAGAGATCGCCTACACCTTATTGAATATTATTTCTAAATGTGTGAATAAGAATTCGTTAAAGAAATTAATTACATTTAAAAACTATTTGTACGCCTTAAGCTACCATTTTGGAATGCGAGGCAGACGACAAACGACAGTAAATATTGCTGTACTAAAAGTGCTGTCGTCTGTCGCGCCTTCCCAAATGTGTTTCATATAATTACATGTTTTCAGACGTGAAGACCCAGACAGCACACCAAATCCTTTGGATATCTAATGAACATCCCAATATCCACTGAATGTCCAGTCCATGGTGGATATCTATTTTATATCCATGAAATGTAATTTATAGACATGCAAATGTCCATAAATAATAGTAATTATATAGCAAATTATTAAAAAATTACGCCATTGTGCCTAATAGTACCGTTCAGATATTTAAAATTAATTTTTTTAAGGTGTATTCTATATCCCATGGACATCCACTATAAATATATCAAAGTCTAAGCGCGGACGCAAACCATCGTGGATATCTACTAGATGTAATTTTTGATTTTGCTTCCTAAGTATAGATGGCGATACCACTTTCGTATCTACTCATGCTCAACCCGCCGTAAATGAGTTCGATCGAATTTTTTTGGCAATCACACTCCATTAGAGATTGGAGTCGAGAATTTCCATTTATTGCTGAAGAGTCCTAATAAGGATGACTTTCTCCTTAGTGCCCTTATAGTGGGCAAAATCAAAGGCAGATTGGAATTATTTTTTATCTCTATTTTCTAGGGATGTCGAAAATGAAAAAAAATATCGATATATCGATGTATCGATATTTATAAAAATATCAATATCAACGTCGATATATCGGGGAAAAAGTATCGATATATCGATATATCGGTAAAAATTTTAAGATTTTGCCTTTTTAAAATAATAGTGTATTCAATATTATTAATAGTAATTTTTATACAAAATGTACATTATTTTAATGTACAAAAATCTCAATAAAAATGAAGGTATTTTAATCAGTATTCCTTTTTATTAGACAATAATTATTACAAAAATATAAAAAACTAAAAATCTTCTAATAATTTTAAACTTATTTAGGGCCGATTCCACCATTGTGTTGAACGCAGAATAAAATAAAGAATAAAATAAAGAATAAAATAAAGAATAAGTATAGTTTTCTTGCTCTTGGCAATCGGATAGGTCAACTGGTCAGTTTTCTTCTTTGCGTTCGTTCCTATCTTTTACGGTTTTGGACTCTAGTGACTTTAGTTATATAAATTAAAAAAATATATCGTTTTTGATACAATTTTCGATATTGGATATTTTGTATCGATATATCGGATCAAAATATATCGGCTAAAAATATCGATATATCGGATTAAAAATATCGATACATCGATATATCGATACTTTTTCAACATGCCTACTATTTTCTTTCGAGGTTATTCAATAATCATTGGTTACTTATGAACCTCTACTAAAGATACCTATAAAATATTTTGCTGAATATCTGAATTCAATATCCATATTGGATATCCACAAAATATATTCTGTGGATATCTCTGGGATTTCTTGTATTGTCTCATTAGATATTTTGCTGAATATCCATAGGATATCTTCTATATTCTGGATATAGACGGACATTTGGATATCCATATTAGATCCACGGAATATTTCTGATATCCTGTGGATATATTGGATATCCACAAAAGATATTCTGTGGATATCTCTGGGATTTGGTGTGTTGTCTGGGGAGGCCGTTTTCGTGCATAACGCTTGAACGGCTGGACCCATTTCGCTAATTATTTTCTTATTGTGTTTGTTATTATCAGGAGAAGGTTCTTATGAAAGAAAAAATTAAGAAAATTGCGCGGGAAATTAGAAAATTTCTATATATATAAAAATGAATCCCTATTTCCCTTGGTCAAGGCATCACGCGTGAACAGCTGGACCCATTTCGCTAATTATTTTTTTATTGTGTTTGTTATTATCAGGAGAAGGTTCTTATGAAAGAAAAAATTAAGAAAATTGCGCGGGAAATTAGAAAATTTCTATATATATAAAAATGAATTTCTATTTCCGTTGGTCACGGCATCACGCGTGAACAGCTGGACCGATTTCGCTAATTCTTTTTTTGTTGTGTTTGAATTAGAATAATAAACCCTTTGTTTCTGAAATATTTTTTTTAGTTAATTATACCAATTCGAAATCAATATTCATAGTTAAGACAGGACAACGTCTGTTGCATCCGCTAGTAATAATTTAAAATTGTCCATTTATGCGTAATGAAATTTAATCTTTTTTTTGTTAAAAATAAATTATATTTATTATTATGTCGTCTGGAATTAAAACCAAATACTTGAAATTCACATATCTTGATTGTATTGGTAAGCAATAAAATACAGCTTTAAAAAAAGCTATTATTTAAAAAAAATGTTACACTTTTCTCCGTCTAAAATAGCAAACCAAAGCTTACACATTATGTGTGTAGCTATTTTAAGTAAATAAGTATATATAAAATACAGAGAGGGTATTACCGTGAAAAGTAAATCACAGTGTAGACACTAAGTTTGTATAATACTCTAGAATTTCAATAATATAAATATCTACATAAGTTTTTAGAATGCACTCTGAGTCAGTGTTTATGCATATCAGTCCAGCAGAAATCTAATTTAAAATAATAAATATTAATAGCATAGTTTTGCGTTTTACATTATAAAATGTAATATACAAAATAGAAGGCTGAGGTTGCTCTCAAATGAATCAAAAAATAAATAAATGGCTACTACCATACTTCCAGAATCTGTCTCGTCTTATAATAAATAACAAACAGCTACTTACAGGGTTATATATTACAGTCTTACAAAACGTGTTTCCGACCGACTTTATCTATACAGAGTAAAAGATTTATAATAAGGTTTCTAAAAATGCTATAAAACCTTTTAATAAACTTTTTAAGTTATCAACACCATTAGATTTATAGATGTAGTAACCGAAACAATATTATAAAACTTAAAAAGTATATTTAATGCCTTACAATACCTAAAATTGCTTATAAATACCATTTATTAAAACCTCTTTCTTATCCATGAATATTTTTTGATTCATTTTAATAGATATTTCAAATTCTAATTATTTATTTTTTATTTCAGGTTTTTTTTTAGGAAAATTTGTATCTGATAAAACGAATTCGCACTATGGGATAGATTTTCAAGAATTAGCGAAGAAAGTAGATATTTTAAACAATAATTTCCAACAGACATTCCACGTAGGTTACAACAATATTTCGTTACATCCCTACAATGACATACATTTTCTTAAATGCAATTTTTCAACAATAGGACAAAATGATAGTGGACAATTGACGGCTACCAATTATTTAAAGATGCTTAATAACTGTTTTGACATAGGATAATAATATTTATAGTAATCCGATGTAATATATTTTAATGATAATATTATGTCTTTTATTTTAGTATATTTTACATGGTAAAAACAGAGGTTTCAAAATGCATACAGAACTTATCTTTTACTTATTAAAAATTGGACACAGAACAACTGAAACATGCTTACATAAAAAATTACTGGTTTTTAAAATACAGGGTGTTAAAGTAGAAAATTCAAAAACTATTAATGGCTATAATTTTTGAAATAAAACTCCTTAGACGAGTAGGCGAGTTTGGCGAAAATGGAATATCAAAGAAATGTAAGGTGTGACGAGTGTAACCATAATAATGTCTAAAGAAATTAAAAGAACAGTGTGAATGAGAGGCATTCTAACGACAGTCAACACTCAGCGTTTTAATTTACAATGATATAATTTAATGGAAAATGCATCCTGGAGCGTGTCCATCTGGCAGTACTCAAATATGACATTAAATGATAAATATTTACAATGAATGATACATTAAGTATTAATAAGCTTACCTTTGATTCAAAGATGTTACCTGACTTGTTTAGATATCTTAAACAGGTAGGCAGAAGAAATATTTGTACCAGGAGTAAATATTATAAACTAGGATACTTATAGATTCACTCTTTGGCGAAGAATAATAAATTAAATGATCCCAATAAATGCTATAATAATTTATTACCGATTGACCATAGTCCAATCGGCGTTTAAGTCACATTCATTTAAAAATTGTTCGACTATAGTGAATTATATTTATATAAACGTTTTTTATCGAATGTTAAAGTCTTGTTACAAAAAAAAATAAAACGCACTGTATAATAACTTATTTATTGGAAAAAAGAAAAAAAAAATTAATTAATTTATAACCAAAAACCGATAAAAAAATAGATTTTGTAATATCTTGTTAAATTTGTTAAAAAAAAACAAAAATCATTAAAATTAACTCAATTAAATATTCCAAAGCACCAATGCAACCACTGGATCGAAATTATTATTTGTATTTATACAGGGTGTTTCATAATATATGTGCAGGATTTCAGGACCCTCTAAAATGCACCATTTTGAAATTGAAAAAAAAAATTATACGCCACTGGAAAAAGTACGGTATTGAGACACCCATTTGAACGCCAATGTTTTTTTACACAAAAAAGGTACTCTTGGTCATACGCTCTAAAGTCGACCGTTTTCGAAAAAAATCAAATTTTGTTTCATTTCCAAAAATTGATCATGTATTTCAACATTAAAATTTGATTTTTTTCGAAAACAGTCGACTTTAGAGCGAATGACCGTACCTTTTTCGTGTAGAAAACATTGGTGGTTCAAATGGGCGTCTCAAAACCGTACTTTCAACACCCTGTATCTCGAAAATGGTGCATTTTAGAGAGTAAGTTAATAGAAACGTTTTTTCATATTTTTGGACGAGCTATCACGTCCTGAAGTCCTGCGCATATATTATGAAACACCCTGTATAATAGTGGAATATCACATAAAAATTGTGTAATACAATTATTATGATAGTAATGTTATATTCCACCCATTACATATAAAATTTTACCTACGAGTCCTAAAAAGCAAAAAAATGAATTGATTATACTTAAAACCAATAAAACAGCCATTGGAGAAATATGAAAATGGCAAAAAAGGGGTCGATTCATGACTTGTTTCCTATAGGAATTTTTGACATTTTTCTATGCATATAGTCTAAAAAAATACATTTTATTTATACCTCATCCTTTAATGTTTATTTGTAGTTAAATTAAACATTTTAATACATCTGATTGGCCTAATAAAAGATTTTATTTAGATTTATTCATGTTTCCATGTTTTTTTTACCGTATTAAACCTTTTATTTTGACATATAAGTCACTGTCTTTTCTGAGATATATTATTATAGGGTCTATTAAGTTTTTCATTGCTATATTCACTTTCCAAAATCAATTTTTCACCTTTTTTCTACAATGTTCTTTAGTTATATATGAAACTGCCTTCAAAAACAAATTTCGCACATCAAGTAATTTAATATAGCTGCCATTTTGTCAGCTGACAAAAAATTAGAATCCAAAAATATTCAATTTGGATTTTAAATAAAAATAAATATATTGTAACACGACCCCTGGTACCGGCCCTGTTTCCTGCAAAGTCGTGAATACAAGCGTGTCGCGTGCTGCCGTCTAGTGACTGACATACATACAAGAGAGTGAAGTTTTGACATTTTAACCGCGTTCAATACAAATCGATAAATATTAAAGTTTAATTATCTTAATATGTGCATTGTTTTAATATTCTACGTCTTCCTTTATAAAATTAGCATCTTACCGTTCGACTTTCGCGAGTTCATGACAAAAATTTAATTTTTAAACGTGTATTGAGTGAAAATAAAACTAAATAACTGCAATTTGGTGAGTACAATCTATTAGATTTCATTGATCGCGGTATTTTTATAATTTTCTAGTGCAAATACCAAATAAATTATGAACAGATACTAAGATAGCTAGTAAATAATTAGTAAATTACACTGTTTTATATAAATTTTTCGCAGTATAAGCATCATTACAAAGTTGGCGCTGTCAGTCACAGAACGGTTATTACAGAATTAACATTCCGTCAATCGTGGATTACAGTTTCGGAACTCCGACGTTGCCACGTTTCAAACTTGCAAAGCTGAACAATTATTGTATGTTGCGCTGTTGCCGGACTGTTTGAAATATCTTAGTTTTACAGATTTCGTAATTTTTACGAAAAATGGCTCCCAATGATCCACAGAGGTGCCGTTTTTTAAAAATTTAATTTATTCAACATTATTCAACTTTGTATTTAACAATGTTACTTAATATAACCGCTAGTAGATTAATACGCAATTTCATTTAATTTGTTTATTAAGTTTATTTTTTTATTACACCTAGAAAAATGTCAAAAACTTCTATAAGAAAAATTCCTACTAGTAAAAAAAAATAAATCCTGAACTGACGTTTTTCTATAAAAGAAATTTTACTTTTATTAATGCATTAAAATATTATAGGACTCCTCTCATAGATAAAAATTATTAAAGTTTTGATTTGGTGGTAGCATTGGTGGCTAATTGTCAGGATGGATCGATCTTCTCGAATCGAAGCATCATCGAATTAGAATTTCCAGGCTCCAGTTTATATCCCAAAGTCTTATAAAACGGGATAAGGTTGTCCTTGCAATCCAACGACATTTTATACGATCCTAATTTCTCAGCAAGAAGAGTCACTGTTAATACAATCCTAAAAAGTACATAAAACACGTTTTTTACTGAATTTTGATTGGTACAGTTTCTTTATTTGTTTTAATTTCGAATTTATTGTAAAAAGAATCAATATCAATTACAGTTTTATTATAAGTTGTTTAAATAACATTTATTTCCTTAAATGACTTGGCAGGTACTCTATGCCGCTTCATCTCATGTAATTACATGTTAAGTTTTTATATAAATAGGAAAAACTTACAATTTTCCCAGCTGTTTTCCTCTATAAGTATTATTCACTACCACATCTTCCAATCGAGATCTCACGGCGCATTCGTGAATGAATTTAAACTCTGTGATCAAAGTAGAAGAACCAATTATTTGTTTACTTCTTGTATCTTCAATCACAGTTATATAATAACCCCCAGCTTTGCGCATATTCCAGAATTGTTCTATAATAATTAACCAGTTTGAATTCAATAATAATATAATTAAAATACACTTACGTTCAAAATCAGATTTAGAAATGTTACCAACAGCTGTTAATTGTGATAAAATTTGTAAAAATCCTTTATCGAAATCTGACAATCTTAATGGTCTTACAACAATCCATGATTCTCCTGGATTTTCGTTTGTTATTTCTGGATTTAGACTGGATTTTGTACGGCTCCAATTTAGGTTTTTTAACAAATTTGGATCATATAGATGCTCATCATCTCCAATGGTATGCTGATAGACAAAAGCCCATTTGATCATTATGAATATTATCTATATTTATTTAATATTGCAAAAATTCCAATAGTATTCTTATTTTTATCATTTTATATCATTATTATTAATTTTAAATGGTTGGAATACAATAAAAAGATATCCTACACAGTGTTGTTCCTGGTTGTACAATTGTACAAAAAGTTGTACAATCAGTTATGCGGTTGTACTGTTGTACGCACTTTTGAAAAAAGACAGAAATATTGTACAATTTGAAATTGCTAAATATTTATGTAAAATCGGGTATATAAAAGGTTTTCTTCGCTCAAAAAGTCTACGATTTGTTAAATAGCATGAATTAAAATTAATAAAAAAAAAAAGTTTAAATTTGGCGCCATTCGCGACCAATCAGTACACCGTTTTACATCAAAAATATATTTTAAACTGGAAAAAAGAAGAATTTTAAGCATGGGAAAGTAGTAGGCCATAGTCTGTCAATAAAAAAGAAGAAGATTAATTAGTGGTTGTACAATCGAAAGTAAAATTGCACAATTTTGACACTGAAAGTTTTACAATTCAAAAATCCCTAGGAACAACACTGATCCTACAAGCTAAAATACTAAAAAAATAGGTTTTGATATAAAAAAAATCACCTGAAAATAATTTGTATGACAAACATTGGTCCCCATTTCACAAGTATATCACACAATTGCTTTTAATCAATTTTAAACTTTGTATTTTTGATCACAAACATAGATTATGTAGAAAAGATTATTAAACAATGATAAATGCTGGGTTAAATGATATTTAAAGCTTGCAATATATTTAGACTATTATCTCGATAATATCTAGATAATACCTGTCTGTAAGTTAAATATTCAAAAATATTTATTTAAAATTCAAAGTATTAAACTGATAACAGGTTATGTTAAATACGAATACACAAATTGAATGTTGCAGTTAGTTAGACTTTTGTCCCATAAAATTTCACATGAACTACTTTTTATTTGAATTATAATGAAAAATATTATTGTCTGAATGGTTTATTATAAATATTTTGCACATTTTGTAGTGTTGCTACTTGTAAACACAATTTTAACAAACAAAAATCATTGGAATACATTTAAAAAGTAGTTGAGATGGATTCTTACTAACATTAAACACAACCAAAAGTAAGAAATGCCAAAATAACATATAAAATATCAGTACTCTTACCGTATTAGCACCCATTGTTGAAAACAATATGTTACATATGAAATGTTTAAACGTTTGCACTTTCAAAATCAACCTTGAATCATTACTTGATCAGCTTATATCATTTTTAAATTCAAACTTTCTTCCTGAATTAGAATTATTAACCTCACATAAACAATGACGTTTGCTGACAGATGACAGATCAGAATTTATCAAGAATCGATCAATGATTTATATAGTTATATAGATTGATCATCCATACGTAAAAAAAAACGATGAAAAGCGGTAGAACTGGCTTATTGTTTATTTTATTAAGTTTGGTTTTTACATTATTTAAATTAAAATGATGAATTGCTCTATAAAAGGTTGTAAAAACAGCTACAGCAGAAATATGAAAAGTAACATTTCGTTTTTCACGTAGGTATCAATGCAAGTAAGTATGAGGTAAATGCAATGAACTGGGGGGGCTATTTTCAAAGTATGGGAGCAGTCATTTCTCCCAAGATTCTCATCAGAAATGTCATACGTCAATGTGGAAATGTTGTTTTTAAAGGCATCGAGGATTAAAATTCTTAGGAAGATTTTAATTCTCTCTAAATGAACCGAGAGAAACAGTCAGTGAGTTCACACTGGCCCTAAGAGCCCTAAAAATACGGTTTTACGTTGACGTATGACATTTCTCTTGAGAGAAATGAATTCTCTCGAGTTTGAAAATAGCCAGGGGGGGTAGCTATTCTTGAATTCGAGGGAATAGAAAACCGGTTTTTCCTCTTTATCTCTAACACACAAAATTTGTATTTTTGTCTCATTCTTCCCTCAAAATTTCTACTCCCTGAGATTCAAGAATAGATACCCTGGGGTGCTATTTTCAAACTCGAGAGAATTCATTTCTCTCAAGAGAAATGTCATACGTCAACGTAAAACCGTATTTTTAGGGCTCTTAGGGCCAGTGTGAACTCACTGACTGTTTCTCTCGGTTTATTTAGAGAGAATTTAAATCTTCCTAAGAATTTTAATCCTCGATGCCTTTAAAAACAACATTTCCACATTGACGTATGACATTTCTGATGAGAATCTTGAGAGAAATGAATGCTCCCATACTTTGAAAATAGCCCCCAGGGGTGCTATTTTCAAAGTCGAGAGAATTCATTTCTCTCGAGAGAAATGTCATACGTCAACGTAAAACAGTATTTTTAGGGTCCTAAGGGCCAGTGTAAACTCACTGATTGTTTCTCACGGTTTATTTAGAGATAATTAATATCCTCCTAAGAATTTTAATCCTCGAGGCCTTTAAAAACAGCGTTTCCACATTGACGTATGACATTTCTGATGAGAATCTTGTACTGAGTACTCACACCACAAAGCACATAGAGGTTCCACCATAGATAAATAGTTTATCTATGGGTTCCACGTGAATGACCAAGGTCAAAACCGACAACTGACATTTTTTATGCTATTTGCTCCAAACTCTAGATGGGGCTACTGGTGAAATTATGATTTCTTACTCCATTTTTAAGCCTTATGGGAGAAAAACTTAACCAAAGACTCCAAAGATGTGACGTGTATTTATTTATGTTCTTGGTTAGTTTCATTTTTCCGTCTGATTTTAGTGATTTTTGTTGCTTTGGCTTTTGGTTTCTGTTTATAGTTTCGTCTTAGTTATTTGCAAAATTGTGATGTTTCGCTTTTTTATTTCCTACTGTGTTTTGCAATAATTTTGGTGCTACGTTGAAAACTTCGAGAAAAACTTCATTGATTCACCATATATTCACCATGCATCTGCATCATAAAAAGACAAACGGGGACAACAACTAATTGATAATCAATTTATCACTGGACTAGATTCCGAAATCATTTTTCACATAAGAGAGTAATACCACCATCTGTATTTGGAAGGAAAATACCTATTTATCATTGAATGAATAGTTAAAAGGATTCACCTTTTAATACAATACCTATATTACATTTGTCCTCAGTTAAAAAGACATTTATAAAATATATAACTTTAGTGTTAATAAAATGTAATATCCTAGTCTCTACTTCACATTTAAATTATTGATAGGTATTTTAAAGATTTGAGATTATATATCTATTTGCTCCAAGTAAGTATTCCTTAAATATGTATTATTATTTGTATTTATTTTTATCTAATAATATTTATTTAAGTTATTAATAAACATATTTTAAGAATGTTCTATTTTATTATTTATTGATATATCTTATATTTATTTAATAAAAATATGCAGAATCAACTCTCCACATTAGACCCCTTATAACAAATTAATTCTTCAAATTTGGTATAATCGACCTAAATTATTTTGTAAAATAAAAGTTTCGAACTTACTAGTTCCATACTTTATTTTATAAAATAATTTATGTGGAAATCATTTAAAACTACTACCTACTCCTAAAAATTACAATTTGAATTTACCGCCATCTGTCAATTGTCATTTTAGTTCCAGCTCCAAACACAAGGTGGCGCTAATTTGGTTTAAAAGTTTAACATTGGCGTGGGGTCTCTAGAAGATACATGCTTTGTGACTCACACGGTTTGAAAATAGGTCCCCAGTTCATTGGGTAAATGCGTTTATAATTGCATCTTAGAATATATATAGTCAGGAAGGAGGAATCCTAAACGACCTTGGAATCGCGATATCGATATATCGCTTATCTTTTATTGCCGCGTTTGAGAAACCACATCGGATGCATCTGAGATGTTGTGAATTTTTTATCACGTGATATAGAATTAGATCTGAATGTAGATGTAATAAACAAACGCTCTAGACTTTATTTGGTCACGTGACAAATGTCAATGACAAGTTAGAAGTTTATACTTATTAAATTTGACTTTTGAGACAACAAATCAACCTAAATTTGAAATATAAACAAAAATTAAGCAAACTAATCACTTTTATATTCATGCTAGCATAAACAAAGGAAAAATTGACAAACAAGGCTTCACAGAACACTTACTTTCTGGCATGGAACGAACATCTCATTCCAAATCGAGATGTAAAAAATGTAATCTGAACAGGTACATCTGGGATAAAAAAACGCAGATGTAGATGTGTCCGATGTGGATAAAAAAACGCTCGAGATGTAAAAAATGCATCCGATGTGGATTCTCAAACGCAGCATATGTGAACTCCACGCAGGCAGAGCCGTGGAATCGAAGATGCTATCAGATGTGGATATTCAAACGCAGTAATAGAAGTAGATACGAGGTAAATGCGTTTATATGAATGGGCAGTCTATATAACTATATGTCATTGATCCGAATTTCTGAACTCACCTAAGAAAATGTCAATTGTCATGTCATACGTCAGTATGAAAGTGGGTTAAGTTAAAATTAAAATTACATAACCCCAATAAACAAATAATAAATAAATAGCACAATAAACTGGAACTAAAAAATGTATAGGAACTTTAATTGAAACTTTACATAACCCTTATGGAATATAAATGCCAATTAGTAGTAGCGCAGCTACCATCGTAAGATATACAATTCGATACTATTCGATTTGATAATTTCTCGATATTTTCAGGACAAGAAAAAGTCTTTTAGGTTGCAAACCGCTGTTAAAAGCATCGATCAAAATGAACGACAGACCGAAAAGAGTCTGTTAAAAATAGGTCCAGCACTGCCGGGAAGAGATAGACGTAGTTTCTATGTTAGATCGCATAGTACATTGAATGCGAGCGCTCTCTCGAAGATACATGATAATTCAGTGTTTTGCGAAGCAGTTATTTTACGGACGCATTCCGATGGTCTGTTACACGTATCACGAATACAAGAAGAAAAAGAAACGCATCAAGATAGAATCAGTTTAGATAGACGTGGAATTACTTCAATTCCAATTATTGATGGAGAACCTAAGCTCAGATTGTTATCCATGCAACATAATTTAATAAATAGTTTAGAAATGATAAGCAAACAGTCATTTCCGACTTTAGTTTTTCTAGATATTTATGACAACCAATTAGAGCAAATTCAGTATTTAGATACATTGACAAATTTAAGAGTTTTACTGATGGGGAAAAACAGGTATAAATATATAGATTTTTAAGTTTTTTTTTTTTTTTTTAGATTTAACTTTTATAAATTTTTTTTGAGAATTTTATAAATTTTTATATATTTTTTTACATTTAAAGATTTTTATATTTCATTTTTTGAGATTTTTCAGATTTTTAAAATTTTTATTAATTTTTAATTTTTTATAGATTTTTTTAGATATTTTTGGGAGTTTTAGATTATGAATTTTTATAGACTTGAGATTTTTATATATTTTTAGATTTTTTTAAAGATTTTTCGGATTTTTGTAGATTTTTCAGTTTTTGTACATTTTTTTGAGATTTTTCAGTTTTTGTAGTTTTTTATATTTTTTATTTGAAATTTTTATAGATTTTTTTTTTTAATTTTTCAAATTTTTATAGATTTTTCAGTTTTTGTAGATTTTTTTGAGATTTTTCAGTTTTTGTAGTTTTTTTTGAGATTTTTATAGATTTTTTTTTTAATTTTTCAAATTTTTATATAATCTTTAGTTTTTTTAAGACTTTTCGGATTTTTATGGATTTTTCAGTTTTTGTAGATTTTTTTGAGATTTTTCAGTTTTTGTAGTTTTTTTGAGATTTTTATTTTTTATTTGTGATTTTTTTAGAATTTTTTTTAAATTTTTATATAATTTTTTAATTTTTTTTTAAGAGTTTTCGGATTTTTATAGATTTTCAGTTTTTGTAGATTTTTTTTGAGATTTTTCAGTTTTTGTAGTTTTTTTGAGATTTTTATGGATTTTTTTTTTAATTTTTCAAATTTTTATATAATTTTTAGATTTTTTAAAGATTTTTCGGATTTTTATAGATTTTTCAGTTTCTGTAGATTTGAGATTTTTCAGTTTTTGTAGTTTTTTTGAGATTTTTTTAGAATTTTTTTTAATTTTTCAAATTTTTATATAATTTTTAGATTTTTTTAAAGATTTTTCGGTTTTTTATAGATTTTTCAGTTTTTGTAGATTTTTTTTTGAGATTTTTCAGTTCGTTGTTTTTTTGAGATTTTTATTTTTTATTTGAGATTTTTATAGATTTTTTAATTTCTCAAATTTTTATATAATTTTTAGATTTTTTATAGATTTTTCAGTTTTTGTAGATTTTTTGAGATTTTTCAGTTTTTGTAGTTTTTTTGAGATTTTAATTTTTTTATTTGAGATTTTTTTAGAATTTTTTTTTAATTTTTCAAATTTTTATATAATTTTTAGATTTTTTAAAGATTTTTCGATTTTTTATAGATTTTTCAGTTTTTGTAGATTTTTTGAGATTTTTCAGTTTTTGTAGTTTTTTTGAGATTTTTATTTTTTATTTGTGATTTTTTTAGAATTTTTTTTAAATTTTTATATAATTTTTTAATTTTTTTTAAGAGTTTTCGGATTTTTATAGATTTTCAGTTTTTGTAGATTTTTTTTGAGATTTTTCAGTTTTTGTAGTTTTTTTGAGATTTTTATGGATTTTTTTTTTAATTTTTCAAATTTTTATATAATTTTTAGATTTTTTTTAAGATTTTTCGGATTTTTATAGATTTTTCAGTTTTTGTAGATTTGAGATTTTTCAGTTTTTGTAGTTTTTTTGAGATTTTTTTAGAATTTTTTTTAATTTTTCAAATTTTTATATAATTTTTAGATTTTTTTAAAGATTTTTCGGTTTTTTATAGATTTTTCAGTTTTTGTAGATTTTTTTTGAGATTTTTCAGTTCATGTTGTTTTTTTGAGATTTTTATAAATTTTTTTAATTTCTCAAATTTTTATATAATTTTTAGATTTTTTTAAAGGTTTTTCGGATTTTTATAGATTTTTCAGTTTTTGTAGATTTTTTTTGAGATTTTTCAGTTTTTGTAGTTTTTTGAGATTTTTATGTTTTATTTGAGATTTTTATAGATTTTTTTTAATTTTTCAAATTTTTATATAATTTTTAGATTTTTTTTTAAATTTTTCGGTTTTTTATAGATTTTTCAGTTTTTGTAGATTTTTTGAGATTTTTCAGTTTTTGTAGTTTTTTTGAGATTTTTATTTTTTATTTGAGATTTTTTTAGAATTTTTTTTAATTTTTCAAAATTTTATATAATTTTTAGATTTTTTAAAGATTTTTCGGTTTTTTATAGATTTTTCAGTTTTTGTAGATTTTTTTTGCGATTTTTCATTTTTTGTAGATTTTTGAGATTTTTATAGATTTTTTTTAATTTTTCAAATTTTTATATAATTTATAGATTTTTTTTAAGATTTTAAAGATATTAGCTTTAAATCTAACTAATATTATATTATAACTTTATTAGGATTAAAAAAATTGAAGGATTAGATAACCTTCTGAATGTAGAAGTTCTAGACCTTCATGGTAATCAAATAACTCAAGTGGGAGGTTTGTCGAATTTGGTAGGATTGAAAGTGCTCAATTTGGCGGGAAATCAGTTGAGAGTTATTGGCGTCAAAGATATACAAGGTTTGATTTCCCTTCAAGAACTGAATTTGCGAAGAAATCGGTTAAAAAAATTACTTGGATTTTCTGAAGTTCCAAATTTAGTCAAATTGTTTCTTAGTAATAATGATTTGCAATCGTAAGTATAATAATATTTTTTTTTATATCTTATTCTTATTTGTTTTTATTATTATTACATGCTTGTTTGAACTTTATTACAATTACAATTAAATCAAATTACAAAAAAATATATATCTATCTACTATATATATAAAATATAACACTTTAAACACTAAAATGTCACATTTAAAAAATACTCAATTTTGTTACTGTCTAGTTTAGTTTTTTAGATTTTTCATATATTTATAAATTTTTTGAGATTTATATAGATTTTTAGATTTTTTTTAAGATTTTTACATATTTTATAGATTTTTTGAAATTTTATAAATTTCTTTAAGATTTTTATAAATTTTTTTGAGATATTTATAGATTTTTTTTAAGAATTTTATAGATTTTTATAGCTCTTTATAGATTTTTTTTTTTTGAGATTTTTATACATTTTTATAGATTTTTAAAATTGTTATAGATTTTTATAAATTTTCAATGATTTTCATAGATTTTTATCAATTGTTTTTTTTTATAGATTTTTTGAAAAATTTATTGATTTTTATATAAATTACATATTTTTTGAGACTTTTATGATTTTTTAAAAATTTTTGTAGCTTTTATATTTTTTTAAGAATTTTTTAAATTTTTATATATTTTTTATAGGTTTTTATAGATTTTTTTTGAGAATTTTATAGATTTTTATGTATTTAATAGGTTTTTATTGATTGTTTTAACTTTTTATTGATTGTTTTAACTTTTTATACATTTTTATGATTTTTATAGTTTTATATATTTTTATAGACTTTTATAGATTTTCATCGATTTTTATAGGTTTTTATTAATTTTTTGGTTTTTATAGATTTTTGAAATTTTAAATTTTTTATACATTTTCATAATTTTATAATTTTTATATATTTTACATATTTTTAGATTTTTTTGAGATTTTTAAATATTTTTATAGATTTTTGTATAGATTTGTATAGATGTTTATATATTTTTATTGGTTTTTATAGATTTTTAGAAATTTTTATAGATTTTTTTGTTTTTTTATAAATTTTATTGGATTTTCATAAATTTTCATTCTACATATCTTTTAAACTGTTATGAGCTAGTGGATTTTCCATACTTACTTTCCACGTCTTGCACGAGGCTTCCTTTTTGTAATGGGCTATGAGAGGTTTATTTAGAAAATAACTTCTGGGTTTCAAATATACCTTCACTGATATTGAATTTAAAAATGTACCTTCCTTTAATGCGTTTATGTAAATCTTGATAAACCCTAACATAAACTTTAACATTTATGAACACTTCACTTAATCTACTAGTTTACATATTTTGTAATCAAACTCGAGCTGTTACCAGAGTTACCGTGTGAAATTTCTATTGGCCGATAAAACATCGTATTCCATTTGCTTATTTTAGTGAGAGTGACGGAAATACTTATATGAAGAGAGATATTTGGTTTGAATTGTTGTGAGGTGGACTGATCTATTTTTTATGTATTCTTCAATTATTACTAGCTTTCAGAACAAGTTTATCGTTTTTCAGCATAGAAGACATAAGTAGTTTGGCCAAATCTTCGAATATTAAAGAAATAACTATAGACAATAATCCAGTATTATTGGGAGGAGACTGTATTTCCTTCATGGTGTCTTACTTACCTCTCTTAAATAAACTCAATTCAATGCAAATCACGGAACACGTTCGAAAAGCAGCAATGGCCTGGAGAAGAAATAAAGAAGCTTCTAATTCAACGTTCATGGATCTTACAAACGATGTCGCTCTTAACTGCAAACGAGAAGAAGTCATCTCGAACGCGAGAACCAACTGGGAATTTCTACGATCCCAAGCAAAATGTCTGGCGAATAACGGGAGCGTAGTTGAGAAAAGTTTGAAGAACCTCAAACCCGATTTAGAGTTCATTATGACACCACTTAGGAAATCGACACCCACGAACCCCACTAGATCGATGAAATCGAAATTATCCACCAAAGTGCCTGTTTTACCTGATAAAAAATTCATCCTACTAAGAACTTCATCTCAAGATACCGAAAACTCGCAAAACACATCATCATCTAATAACTCGGTCAGCGAATACTTCAAACTACCACCGATTTTGGTACCTATTATTACTAAAATGGAAGATGGCGTTAATAAGGCTTCCGGCAGTTTTTCCAGCATCGGTCCGAATATTGACAGTTCAATTAGTTCCTTTGCGAGCGGCAGCGAACTCGACGCCGCAGAAACGACGTGTTCCTGCATGTCCAAGGAATCCGATTCAGATTCCGATTCGGTGTGCGATATAGATATAGCAGCCGGTGAATTAATGAAGAAAATTCCTCTTGAGTAAGTTTTTTTTTGCAAAACGTGTCGTATGTAGTGTCACATGACATGATTTTTATGACAGACGGAGGGAGAAATAATGTAATGCAAAAGTTAAGCGCAATATCACAAAATATGGTCCGTGCGGAGTCCACAACACACGCTATATATATATATATATATATATATATATATATATATTAAATTCCAATAAGGTATTACATTACCGGGATTATCTCCCAAGAATGCTTACCTGACCTGGGGCACCGCTCTGGCCAATATGTATATCTCTCTCTCTCTCATAAACATTGATTAACATAACGTCATACTCATTCTTGTAAGATAAAGTTTAAACGCATTTCAGAGAATCTGTAGTGAAGCCTGTAGTAGACATCGACGAAATAAGAAGTAAAAATTGCTGTTCAACGGACACTTCTAGCGTTTTGTCCGCGCCAACTGTTTCAAATCTTTCGAATCTCAGTAATTCGAGCAGAGAAAACGTCGGTAGAACCGTAACGAGGAATATTAAAAGTGCGATTCATGGAAAACCTATAGCGACTAAATGTAACGCACGCGCTGTCACGGCGAAGGTTAAAAAACAAATCTCCCCAGCTTTACCTAAAGACAGGGAGCAAGGTAAGTTACTTTTTATTCGTAAAATACTGTATTTTAAACGATAATATGGAAAATCCCAGGCCAGGCTTGTACACAAGATAATGCTCGTATTACAAAGATCGCTTGGTAACCAAAGAGCATGCTCTAAAGCCCACATATTTTCAAATTTTGAATTTTTCCAATTTTCCGTTTTTCATATTCTTAATATCCATAAAAAATCTCAAAAAAAAACTATAAATCTATAAAATCTAAAAATATATTAAAATCTCAAAAAAATGTGAATATCTTAAAAATCTATTAAAATCTATAAAAATTCATAAATATACAAAAAAAAAAAAAACTATAAAAATCTGTAAAAACTAAAAATCTGAAGAAAAATTTATAGTCTCAAAAAATAGTATCAAAATCTTAAAAAATTTTCAAAAAATCTATAAAAATATAAAATTTCACAAAAATCTATAGAAATCTATAAAATTCTCAAAAATCTATAAAAATATGTAAAATGTATAAAAATCTCAAAAAGTCTATAAAAAAATCTATAAAATCTATAAAAATATGTAAAATATATAAAAATATGTAAAATATATAAAAATATATGTAAATATTTATAAAAATTTAAAAAAGCTACAAACAATATGTAAAAACTAAAAATCTCAAGAAAAATCTATAAATATCTCAAAAAATCCATAAAAAACCTATAAAAATCTATAAAAAATCTATAAAAAATCTATAAAAATCAAAAAAATCTAAAAAAAATCTATAAAAATTTATAAAAATTTAAAAAAAGCTATAAAAATCTGTAAAAACTAAAAATCTGAAGAAAAAATAAAGTCTCAAAAAATAGTATCAAAATCTTAAAAAATTTTCAAAAAATCTATAAAAATATATAAAGTTTCACAAAAATCTATAGAAATCTATAAAATTCTCAAAAATCTATAAAAATATGTAAAATGTATAAAAATCTCAAAAAGTCTATAAAAAAATCTATAAAAATATGTAAAATATATAAAAATATATGTAAATATTTATAAAAATTTAAAAAAGCTACAAACAATATGTAAAAACTAAAAATCTCAAGAAAAATCTATAAAAATCTAAAAAAATATATAAATATCTCAAAAAATCCATAAAAAACCTATAAAAATCTATAAAAAAAAGCTATAAAAAATCTATAAAAATCTAAAAAAAATCTATAAAAATTTAAAAAAAGCTATAAAAATCTGAAGAAAAAATAAAGTCTCAAAAAATAGTATCAAAATCTTAAAAAATTTTCAAAAAAATCTATAAAAATATATAAAATTTCACAAAAATCTATAGAAATCTATAAAATTCTCAAACAATCTTTAAAAATATGTAAAATGTATAAAAATCTCAAAAAGTCTATAAAAAAATCTATAAAAAAGCTACAAACAATCTGTAAAAACTAAAAATCTCAAGAAAAATCTATAAAAGTCTAAGAAAATATATAAAAATCTATAAATATCTCAAAAAATCTATAAAAAAGCTATAAAAAAAAGCTATAAAAAATCTATAAAAATCTAAAAAAAATCTATAAAAATTTAAAAAAAGCTATAAAAATCTGTAAAAACTAAAAATCTGAAGAAAAAATAAAGTCTTAAAAAATAATATGAAAATCTTAAAAAATTTTCAAAAAATTTATAAAAATATATAAAATTTCACAAAAATCTATAGAAATCTATAAAATTCTCAAAAAATCTTTAAAAATATGTAAAATGTATAAAAATCTCAAAAAGTCTATAAAAAAATTTATTAAAAACCTATAGAATCTATAAAAATATGTAAAATATATGTAAATATTTATAAAAATTTAAAAAAGCTACAAACAATCTGTAAAAACTAAAAATCTCAAGAAAAATCTATAAAATCTCAAAAAAAAAAGTATAAAAATCTCAAAAAACTTTCAAAAAATCTATACAAGTCTAAAAAAATGTATAAAAATCTCAAAAAAATCTAAACAATTCAAAAAAATTATAAAAATCTATAAAAAACTATATATAAAAATTTTTAATGCAATAATTCTTTTTACTGTCCCCTCTATATGACTATATATCATTGAATTTTTCCCTTCTAGCATACGAGCGCCATTCTGTGGTCACTTTCTAAAACCTTTGCAACCATGTAAGATTGTCCTCCTTTTCTCTACACTCCATAGTCCACACGCTAGGTACTTGCGAACAGACAAGTTTTACTCCTTTAACTCCAAATGATCCTTTTAGCATTCGATTAATTCCAAATAATGACAGTTCACACTTAAATATCTTTTAAAAGCACTCTATCCCGAACTTAGAAGAGGCTATTATAAATTGAGGTGGGGTAACTGTAAGCAACACTGTCTCACTTAGAGCTTCTCACCGTTTATTAAGAATATCCCACTGGGGCTACTTTGAGGGTACTCTAGGTTAATATTTCTGCGGGATTTCGTTTTTTATTTTCCTGCCCCATATGATTATTTTATTTAAAATTCTTTTCGAATTTCCAGGGGGAGATTATCTAATAGAAATTTGTGGCAGACATTTAAACGTATACGGTCAAGGGGCGTTAAGATTCATCGATAAAATTTGGAACGTCAACAAAGCCCATGATGTCACAACAATTAAATTTAATTACGTCAATTTTAACAGCGTCATCGGAATACTCGGCAAAATAAAGCATAGATTTCCTAATATCGGTAATTTTGTTTTCAAAGAAACAAATATTAGTTATTTGGGTCAACTGAATGCTCTAGCAGAGACGCAAGGTTTATCTTCTCTGTATATCGATTCTGAAGGCAATTCGATTTGCGAACAAAACTGGGAAAGTTACGCCATTTATAGACTTGCACATTGGGGATTGAAGATAATAAATAATAAAGAGGTAATGTAATTTACAAAATATTAATAATATGCGTAATTTGACATAATTTTTCAAAATGTATATGAACAGTACCAATTTAGTAGTTGGATAGCTAACTATTAAATTTCACCAACTAGGTTTGCTTAGATTTTTGTGCCCTTCCATTGGAAATTTTTTTAGGTTACTGAAAATGATATAAAACTGGCTAATGATGAATATCAAGGGTTAAGCGACTTAGTCCTTTGGTCTTTGCCCGATATTTTGTTGCAACCGTTATTGATCCGTATGAGAATTGACATAAACAGCACTACTTCAGAACATGATATCAAAAAATGGTTACTCTCGGCAAATCCAGAATTGAGGAATGTTATTAGTAAGGAAGCACTTCAGTGGAAAAAACCATCTCTATCTCAGGTATTTTCAGTTATAAAATATATATATTTTTTTATAGATTTTTTGAACTTTTTATATATTTTTTGAGATTTTTAATTTTTTTGAGATTTTTATAAATCTTTTTGAGCTTTTTATGGATTTTTATAGGTTTTTTAGTTTTTCATATATTTTTCGATATTTCTATAGGTTTTTATGGATTTTTATACATACATTTTAATAGACTTTTATAGCTTTTTAAATATTTTTTTACAATCTTTATAGTTTTTTTGGTTTTTTATAGATTTTTATTGATTTTTATAGCATTTATAGATTTTTAGATTTCTATAAATTTTAATAGATTTCTATAAATTTTAATAGATTTCAATACTTTTATAGCTTTTTATATAGTTTTTTGTTTTTTTATACAAATTTTAAGATTTTTATAAATGTTTTGAGATTTTTATAGATCATTTGAGATTTTTATCATTTTTTATAGGTTATTAGTAGATTTCAATAGACTTTTATAGCTTTCTATATATTTTTTTACAATCTTTTTTTTTGTGTGTCATCGGCTTCAACTGCTAATGTTATTTCGCATCGTGTTCTGTGTAGGCTTTGTTACTGTTTCTTTTACAATCTTTATAGTTTTTTTGGTTTTTTATAGATTTTTATAGATTTTTTATGAATTTTTATATTTTATAGCTTTCATAGATTTTTCGATTTTTTTGAAATTTCTATAGTTTTTTATAGATTTTAATAGCTTTCTATATATTTTTTTTACAATCTTTATAGTTTTTTGTTTTTTTATAGATTTCTATAGTTTTTTATGGATTTTTATAGCTTTTTGAGATATCTATAGATTTTTATAGATTTTAATAGACTTTAATAGATTTTAATAGATATTAATAGATTTTAATAACTTTTAATAGATGTTAATAGACTTTTATAGCTTTCTAAATATATTTTTTTATGGATTTTTATAGCTTTTTTTTATTTTTCGATTTCTATAGATTTTTATACATTTTAATAGACTTTTATAGCTTTCTATTTGTTTTTTATGATCTTTATAGTTTTTTTTGTTTTTTTATAAATTTTTTAAATTTTTATAATTGTTCTGAGATTTTTATAGCTTTTTATGGATTTTAATACGTCTTAATAGATTTTTATAGCTTTCTATATATTGTTTTACAATCTTCATAGTTTTTTGTTTTAGTTTTTTATAGTTTTTTTATGGATTTTTATAGCTCTTCATAGATTTTTCGATTTTTTTGAGATTTCTATAGATTTGTATAGCTTTCTATATATTTTTTATGATCTTTATAGTTTTTTTTTTTATAAATTTTTTATAAATGTTTTGAGATTTTTATAATTTTTTATAGGTTTTTATAGCTTTTTATGGATTTTAATAGACTTTTATAGCTTTTTATGGATTTTAATAGACTTTTATAGCTTTCTATATATTTTTTTATGATCTTTACAGTTTTGTTTCATATATATTTTTTATAAATGTTTTGAGATTTTTATAGATTTTTTGAAGATATTTATAAATTTTTTGAGATTTTTATAGTTCTTTTACAGATTTTTATAGCTTTTCATAGATTTTTCGATTTTTTTTATATTTCTATAACTTTTTATGGAATTTAATAGACTTTTATAGCTTTCTATATTTTTTTACGATTTTAGTTTTTTTTTTGTTTTTCTAATAGACTTTTATAACTTTCTATATATTTTTTATAGGGTTTTATAGCTCTTTATGGATTTTAATAGACTTTTATAGCTTTTTATATATATTTTTATGATCTTTATAGTTTCTTTGGTTTTTTTTATACAGATTTTTATAGAAGTTTTGAGATTTTTATAGATTTTTTGGGATTTTGAGATATTTATAGCTTTTTATAGATTTTTCGATTTTTTTTTGAGGTTCAAATAGGTTTTTATAGATTTTTATACTTTTCATAGATTTTTCAATTTTTTTGAGGTTTCTATTATAGGTTTTTATAGCTTTTCATAGATTTTTATAGTTTTTTTTTTATGGATTTTAATAGCTTTCTATATATTTTTTATAGCTTTTTATGGATTTTAATACTTTTATAGCTTTCTTATAGATTTTTATAATGTTTTGAGATTTTATGTCTTTATAAATTTAAATAGATCGTTGTATATTAAATAAATATTTATAGGAGGAAAATATAATGCGCCAAAAAGCAAAACAGCACATATCCCATCTTTTAGACGACACGGCGAACGCCGTAAACAAACTCGTATTGTTGGACGAACAATGGCCGAGTATATTACACAATTTCGTCCAGAATACCTTAACGGATTATTCACAACTAGATTTATATATGAAGCAAAAAATGCAAGAATTGAGTAAGTGATACACACTGCCATTTAATAACTTACGAATTTTAAATTTAAGCACTGTTTGGCACAGTTATTTATTTTGATAAAAATATGTATCGGTTCTGTTGTAATTAAAAAAAAACTAAATTTTTTAAAAAAATATGTTTGTTTTCTTTTTACGATACCACAATTATTTCCAATGACAGCTAAATAACATCAAACTTCATTGGATTCTTGTGACGTCATCGTGTAGTCTTCCGTTGGACTAAAATTGACTATGTAAAATCTGGTCGGACGGTAGACTGCACGGTGGGCGGAGAAACGGCAGTGACGTCATCGTGCAGTCCTCCGTCGGACTAGATTGCTACTTCTTGTTAAATTTGAATTATGTAAACCGTTCAAGTTTCCGTCCGTCCGCGAGACATCTTAAAGATTTCTATTGTTAATACATCATATTTAATGAATTGTACTATTTTAAATTGACAGTAACAGTTTTAAAAGTAAAAAGATCGACATCTTGCGAATTTTTGAGTAAGAGCGACTAAGTATCCAGTAAAAACCGCAATTATAGTGCCGTCGTGATTGGAAAAGCTCCAGGGAATGGGATTTTTATCACCTGTAAGTCAAATGGTACTAAATCAAGATTCTACACTTAGCTGAGAAAGTAGGTAAGAAAATTACCATCAACGCAACTTTTAAATATTTATTTTTGAATCTTACATTAAAAGGACAGGAAATATTTTTTTTGTTCAATTATTGTTGTACAATTTCAATGATTAACTGAAGTTATGGAGTGAAGAGTAAAAAGAGTCTACTTCCCGAACTCAACTATCAAGGTTTTTTTCCGCTTCGGCTATGAGCTCATCAATTTCATCTATGGAATATATTTTCTTCCTTATGGAGGTACCGCTAAAAATATTTGCCTTATCCTGAAATATAAACAATTTTATAATTTATTAACTAATATAGGTATTTTTTTTTTACCCAAAACTGTATGTATTCCGGAGACATCGATTCTAAACGCAATAACCGATCTTCTAAACATTTCAGACGTTCGTAAATAATCGCAGATGTGGGTGTAGATAAACTCAGTTGTTCTTCTATATTTTGTAATCTTTCTTCGACTCCATTAGGTGGAATGAATTTTGTTAAGTAGTCGGAACTCGTTTGATCTCTGTAGTGATACGAATTTAATACACGATTTACTGAAAATAAATTAATCCGAATATACTTTTTTTTCGACTAGATAGATCAAAATACTTGTGAGTGGATTTTCTTGGGGAAGCAATGTTGCCGTAACAAAAATAAACTACAAAATATTTGATTATTAATTTATTTTGTTATCGGTATAAATGTTAATTATGCACAAAACTAGATGGTAAAATTTATTAGTTAGCTATCCAACTAGCGAAGTGACACTGTTTGTTAGCTCAAGGGGAACCTATACCAGTCAACCATTCTACTACGTTTGAATCATAAAGTATAAGTGAACGTCAACACAGTTAGTTAACCAACTGGTGAATTAGCGCTGTTCGTTAACTCCGTTGTGATACAATCAGGCAACAAATGCTTCTATTCCACCAAAGAATATTACCTTGCAAATGACTTTTAGAATCTTTCCTTTTCAAAACTTCTGCATCAACTCTGGCACAAATAAAATCAGAATTTCTATCACTACGACAAAATTCTTGTATATTATTAATATTAATTTCACTTCGTTTCCTCTCCATAAATTTGTTTATTCTATTTTCAACTTCATCTTTCGTCGCCTTAATTTGAATTAAATGAGGAAGGACTCTGGAAACTTCCACAGATTGTTTAATATCGAATTTTCTATGGGAATATCGTTTCACTAAAAATTAAAAGCATTTTTTCAAAAAGATTTATTTGTAAATATATTTAATATAATTTTTTTTTGGTTTAACTAACATTCTATCTAAAAGTATATATATATATATTTAATTATTATTAATGGAAGACCACGCACATTCCTTGTTTTCTTTCCATTCTGGATCAGTTTGATTTGCGTAGTATTCTTTTTTCCAAATGGGAACTGATTTTTTTATGTTATCAATACAAAATTCTGTGGCTTTGATTGCGTCTGATCGATGCGGTGAAGAAGTCGCGATGATTATGCTCGCTTCTTTGATAGGAACCACCCCTAATCTAAAATTGGAATATATTTTTTTAATATTTTAAGTTATTGAGTCAGCATCTGTGATATTTTAGATTATTTTCAGTTCATTGTTTACCTATCTGTTATCTATCTAAATAGTATTTGTACAAAAAGTGTAGAAACATTATTCTGCAAACAAAATTTTCAAATTCTAATAGCTGTTAAAGATAGAGAGTATCAAAGTTGAATTCCTAATTGTTTAAAGCTGATATTGGAGCCTTTGTTTCGTCTCTATTTCCAAACTAATAAATTTATAAACTTCAAAATTTCAGAAAATATTTATAAAAAGTGTAGAAACATTATTCTGCAAACAAAATTCTCAAATTCTAACAGCTGTTAAAGATAGAGAGTATCAAAATTAAATTCCTATTTGTTACAGTTGATATTGGAGCCTTTGTTTCGTCTCTATTTCCAAACTAATAAATTTTTAAACTTCAAAATTTCAGAAAATATTTATAAAAAGTATAGAAACATTATTCTGCACACAAAATTCTCAAATTCTAACATCTGTTAAATATAGAGAGTATCAAAGTTGAATTCCTACTTGTTTAAAGTTGATATTGGAGCCTTAGTTTCGTCCCTGTTTCTAAACTAATAGATTTTAAAATTTCAGAAAATATTTATAAAAAGTGTAGAAACATTATTCTGCAAACAAAATTTTCAAATTCTAATAGCTGTTGAAGATAGAGAGTATCAAAGTTAAATTTCTATTTGTTACAGTTGATATTGGAGCCTTAGTTTCGTCCCTATTTCTAAACTAATAGATTTTTAAACTTTAAAATTTCAGAAAATATTTATAAAAAGTGTAGAAACATTATTCTGCAAACAAAATTCTCAAATTCTAACAGCTGTTAAAGATAGAGAGTATCAAAGTTGAATTCCTATTTGTTACAGTTGATATTGGAGCCTTTGTTTCATCCCTATTTCCAAACTAATAAATTTATAAACTTCAAAATTTCAGAAAATATTTATAAAAAGTGTAGAAACATTATTCTGGAAACAAAATTCTCAAATTCTAACAGCTGTTGAAGATAAGAGAGTATCAAAGTTGAATTCCTACTTGTTTAAAGTTGATATTGGAGCCTTTGTTTCATCCATATTTCCAAAATAATAGATTTATAAACTTCAAAATTTCAGAAAATATTTATAAAAAGTGTAGAAACATTATTCTGCAAACAAAATTTTCAAATTCTAACAGCTGTTGAAGATAGAGAGTATCAAAGTTAAATTGCTATTTGTTACAGTTGATATTGGAGCCTTAGTTTCGTCCCTATTTCTAAACTAATAAATTTATAAACTTCAAAATTTCAGAAAATATTTATAAAAAGTGTAGAAACATTATTCTGGAAACAAAATTCTCAAATTCTAACAGCTGTTGAAGATAGAGAGTATCAAAGTTAAATTTCTATTTGTTACAGTTGATATTGGAGCCTTAGTTTCGTCCCTATTTCTAAACTAATAAATTTATAAACTTCAAAATTTCAGAAAATATTTATAAAAAATGTAGAAACATTATTCTGGAAACAAAATTCTCAAATTCTAACAGCTGTTGAAGATAGAGAGTATCAAAGTTGAATTCCTACTTGTTTAAAGTTGATATTGGAGCCTTTGTTTCATCCATATTTCCAAAATAATAGATTTATAAACTTCAAAATTTCAGAAAATATTTATAAAAAGTGTAGAAACATTATTCTGCAAACAAAATTTTCAAATTCTAACAGCTGTTGAAGATAGAGAGTATCAAAGTTAAATTGCTATTTGTTACAGTTGATATTGGAGCCTTAGTTTCGTCCCTATTTCTAAACTAATAAATTTATAAACTTCAAAATTTCAGAAAATATTTATAAAAAGTGTAGAAACATTATTCTGGAAACAAAATTCTCAAATTCTAACAGCTGTTGAAGATAGAGAGTATCAAAGTTAAATTTCTATTTGTTACAGTTGATATTGGAGCCTTAGTTTCGTCCCTATTTCTAAACTAATAAATTTATAAACTTCAAAATTTCAGAAAATATTTATAAAAAATGTAGAAACATTATTCTGGAAACAAAATTCTCAAATTCTAACAGCTGTTGAAGATAGAGAGTATCAAAGTTGAATTCCTACTTGTTTAAAGTTGATATTGGAGCCTTTGTTTCATCCATATTTCCAAAATAATAGATTTATAAACTTCAAAATTTCAGAAAATATTTATAAAAAGTGTAGAAACATTATTCTGCAAACAAAATTTTCAAATTCTAACAGCTGTTGAAGATAGAGAGTATCAAAGTTAAATTTCTATTTGTTACAGTTGATATTGGAGCCTTAGATTCGTCCCTATTTCTAAACTAATAGATTTTTAAGCTTTAAAATTTCAGAAAATATTTATAAAAAGTATAGAAACATTATTCTGCACACAAAATTCTAACATCTGTTAAATATAGAGAGTATCAAAGTTGAATTCCTACTTGTTTAAAGTTGATATTGGAGCCTTTGTTTCATCCATATTTCCAAACTAATAGATTTATAAACTTTAAAATTTCAGAAAATATTTATAAAAAGTGTAGAAACATTATTCTGCAAACAAAATTCTCAAATTCTAACAGCTGTTGAAGATAGAGAGTATCAAAGTTAAATTTCTATTTGTTACAGTTGATATTGGAGCCTTAGTTTCGTCCCTATTTCTAAACTAATAAATTTATAAACTTCAAAATTTCAGAAAATATTTATAAAAAGTGTAGAAACATTATTCTGGAAACAAAATTCTCAAATTCTAACAGCTGTTGAAGATAGAGAGTATCAAAGTTGAATTCCTACTTGTTTAAAGTTGATATTGGAGCCTTTGTTTCATCCATATTTCCAAAATAATAGATTTATAAACTTCAAAATTTCAGAAAATATTTATAAAAAGTGTAGAAACATTATTCTGAAAACAAAATTCTCAAATTCTAACAGCTGTTAAAGATAGAGACTATCAATTACTTTTTTATGATATCCTGATTGATTTAAGAATTTAAATCAACAAACAATGGTCCAAAAATGTTTCATCATGAAAAGATTTGGTATAAAAACAGGAAATGAATTAATATAGTACTTAAAAACTAATAGGTTGCATAGAAAGTGTAGTTAAGTAGATTTTTATGAACTATAACTAATTTTTACTTACCTATGAAATATAGCAATATTTACTACACTGGGCCATTGTTCTCTAATTTCTATACAAATTTTCTCCATAGATTTAATTCCCATTGATTCGTATGCTTCATACTCTAATCTATCTACTTGTTTTCCTTCAAAATTGTCTCTTGTCGTTCCAATGAATAGGGAAATAGCACCACAAGAATCTGAGCTTACCGAATTAGTGATAACTTCAACACACAATTTTTCATGAGTTAGTTTTAAATGATTCATTTTGTTTATCCACCGCTTAGAGGAGGTATAACTGCTAGTTCATCGCCTGGTTTCAAAGTTAGAATTTGATCTCCTGGTTCCAAAAAATCTTGGTTAATTGATAGAATAATTTGATTTCGTAATTGATTTAAAGAATAATGGTTAACAATTATTTCTAAAAGATTTTTATGCGTAATAGGTGTTTCTACTTCTAAATAATCAACACTTTTACCAAAAATGTCTCTTGCTTTTGCAAAAAATAAAATTTTTACGTTCACTGTACCACTCATAACTCATAACGAAACAACTTTGTACCACTAACGTAAGCTAATTATTTCAATGCAATACACTTAAATTATTTATCATTTAGTTTTATCACTAATATCTTTATCTATTTATTAAATTTCAAAACGTAAATATTAATATTTCATACTTTTATAACTTTAACCTTTTCACGTGACATTTGGGAAACAGCGTGTTCCAGTGTTGTTCCTAGGGATTTTTGAATTGTACAACTTTCAGTGTCAAAATTGTACACTTTTACTTTCGATTGTACAACCACTAATTAATCTTCTTTTTTATTGACAGACTATGGCCTACTACTTTCCCATGCTTAAAATTCTTCTTTTTTCCAGTTTAAAATATATTTTTGATGTAAAACGGTGTACTAATTGGTCGCGAATGGCGCCAAATTTAAACTTTTGTTTTTTTTATTAATTTTAATGCATGCTATTTAACAAATCGTAGACTTTTTGAGCGAAGAAAACCTTTTATATACCCGATTTTACATAAATATTTAGCAATTTCAAATTGTACAACATTTCTGTCTTTTTTTAAAAGTGCGTACAACAGTACAACCGCATAACTGATTGTACAACTTTTTGTACAATTGTACAACCAGGAACAACACTGGCGTGTTCCATGTCCCAAAACTGACACGTTACCACAGAACACTTACTCTTACGTTCAATGATATATTTTCTATAGACTGCTTTTCCATATATAAAGCCGACGAAAAGTGGGTCATATTTAACTTAGAACATTTATACAAATTGTATGGATGGAACAATATTTTCAGAAGTGGTGTAGCTCGGTGCTACACTGTCGATGCAAAGGAAAAGACCTAGGGTGAGATTACAGAACGTCTGCAACTTTGCATCTGCAACTTTGCAAATATGGCGGACTTACAAATGTAAGTATTCCAAAAAATATCTGCAAATTCGCAATATTTACTGTGGTTTATTACCCCCAACAGCACTAAACCCAAATTCGGAATACGAAAACTTGATACTTGCATGTGTAAGTCAGTCATATTTGCAGATTTTCAAAGTTGCCGCCATATTTGCAGATCTGCAAAGTTGCAGACGTTCTGTAATCTCACCCCATGTGTTCTTTCGTTCGCTGTTGGTGCCAGTGTCCACCAGTGTAAGTTACACCACCTAATTTACTTCCTTATACACATGTCGAGTGCAATTTACTCCTGCTAAATAGCTAGTGGAGAAAATATCCACCAGTGGACACCACATCATCTACAGGAAGATATAAGGTTCTTTCGTTCGTCCCACTGGTGTAGTTGGGTGTAGTAATGAATTACACCAACCCACACCTATACCTTTCGTTTGGTCCGGTGTAAAACCCACTATACCTTCCTGTCGGCGATGTGGTGTATACTGGTGGATATTTTCTCCATTTAGTAGGAGTGAATTACACTCGACGATGTGTATAAGGAATAAGGAGGAAGTAAATTAGGGTAAATAAGGTGGTGTAACTGGTGTAATTTACACTGGTGGACACTACACCAATAGCGAACGAAAGAACCTATAGTGGGTTTTACGCCGGGTCAAACGAAAGGTTTAGTGTCCGTTGGTGTAGTTCGTTCCTACACCAGTGGGACGAACGAAGGAACCTATATATTCTAAGATAAATACGGACCTACGTGGTTTGTGAGTGTACCCTAGATTAATTTGATTCGAATTTCTAAACAAGAGTAGCTAAATGTCCAAATTGAACGAATGAAGACCAAATTGATCACACTCTCTTGATCGGAGCGAACTTTCTGAACACACTCTTGGCTAATCCGAACGCTACTCGTTCCCCGTATCTTTTGTCAGCTGTCAGTCAATCGAAGTGACACTGACACGAGAGCAAGTGACGTCTGTACATGACGTGGAAGTTCAAAACTCAAAACTATTAGGTAAATATTTTAAATATCTCCTGTATACCTGTTAGAAACGAATTTTATAAACATTTTTCGTACATGATATTAAATCTAGTTATGAAGTGAGCGATAAATTCAGAAAAAATGAGCACGTACGAAGAATACATTCAACAAAATGAAGACCGAGATGGAATCAGGTTTACTTGGAATGTATGGCCATCGAGTAGGATAGAAGCAACTCGTTTGGTAGTACCATTAGCGTGTCTTTATCAACCGATTAAAGAACGTTTAGATCTTCCACCCATACAGTATGATCCCGTTCTGTGTACAAGAAATAACTGCAGAGCGATTTTAAATCCTATGTGCCAAGTTGATTATCGAGCAAAATTGTGGGTTTGCAATTTTTGTTTTCAACGCAATCCGGTAAGTGTAATATATTTTTAGATAATTTGAAGTTATTTGTAATATTTTTTAAGTTTCCACCTCAATATGCAGCTATTTCTGAACAGCATCAACCTGCTGAGTTAATGCCTATGTTTTCAACTATTGAGTATACTATTACTAGAGCTCAGTGTTTACCACCGATATTCTTGTATGTTGTTGATACTTGCATGGATGAGGAAGAATTGGGTTCACTTAAAGATTCTTTACAAATGTCACTCAGTTTATTGCCTCCGAATGCTTTAATTGGTTTGATTACATTTGGAAAAATGGTCCAAGTTCATGAATTAGGTAAATTTGTTTATTCTCCTACAATTATCTGAGTGTTATTTAAATAGTTACCTATTTATAGGTACTGAGGGTTGCAGTAAATCATACGTCTTTAGAGGTACTAAAGATTTAACAGCTAAGCAAGTTCAAGAGATGTTGGGTATTGGTAAAGTTGCTATGGGGCCTCAACAACAACCAGGTCAACCTAGACCTGGTCAAATGCAACCTGCACCTATCGCGCCAGGTAGCAGGTACCTTAGAAGTTCTATATTAAAAAAAATTGGTTATATCTTTTATAAATACATTTTAGATTCCTACAGCCTGTATCTAAATGCGATATGAATTTAACTGATTTAATAGGAGAGCAGCAAAAAGATCCCTGGCCTGTTCATCAGGGAAAGAGATCTCTTAGATGTACCGGTGTTGCTTTATCTATAGCTATTGGTTTGTTGGAGAGCACTTATCCCAATACAGGAGCTAGAGTTATGCTTTTTGTTGGAGGACCGTGCTCTCAAGGGCCTGGTCAGGTTTTGAATGATGATTTAAAACAACCTATTAGGTAAAATACAATTTTGTTATGTTTTTCTCAATTAGAACTTATAATATATCAATTGTGCCCCCCTAGCCTAATAAAATCTTTCTTATTTTCATTTATATTAACTGTACTGCATATTCTGTCTGTTTATTTACATGAATAGTAATTTTAAATGCATTATAATAAAATTCTTGTAATTCTTTTTACAGGAAAATGATTTGTTGAAAGGTTTATAATGTGTGAATTATTTTGATTATAGATCTCATCATGATATTCAAAAAGATAATGCAAAGTATATGAAAAAAGGTATAAAGCATTATGATGCTTTGGCTATGAGAGCAGCAACTAATGGGCATTGTGTTGATATTTATTCTTGTGCTTTGGATCAGACTGGTTTGATGGAGATGAAACAGTGCTGCAATTCTACAGGGTATGTTATTATAGTATAAATATTAATATTAAACATGTATGAATAAATTTATATACAAAGGAAAAAATTTTATGTGTTCTACAAATGATTTAGTTATTACAAGCTTTTTCAGGTTATTTTGTACAATCTAATGTATTATTTCTATAAATATTTAGATGATGAATTAATAGATATATTTTCTACACACACCTTACTCAAAACATTTTCTTTTTTTTTTAAATAAATTAATTGAAAATACTGAAAAATTAAAATTTTGTCTTGTTTTTTCAAATATCTTGACAATAGTGCATTTTAGTTATGTTTAAGACAAGAATTATAGAAAATGATGTAACAAACAAGTTTTATTTGAACAATTTTTTTGAAAAATTTTTTTTTTAGTTTTTGTCAAATTTTTCGAATACGGTTCATTTTAGGAAAATTTTGTATATAATAAAAATTGTAGAGAATAATATTATAAGCAACTTTTATTTGAAGAATTTTTTTCTCCAATCATAAATAACAGATATATTGCATAAAATAGAAAAACGACCCCCCATAAAGTACCTCCCCAAATGTTCCGACTATGCCTAAAATTTAAACAGTTCACCACAAAATGGAATAAAGTTTAAATTTAAAATTTGATGTTTTTTCTTAATCCATTTTAGAGTTATCTTAAAAATTCGAAATTTGCACTTTTTCTCAAATATCTCGAATACGGTCCATTTTAGGAAAATTTTGTAAAGAATAAAAATTATAGAGAATAATTTTATAAGCAACTTTTATTTGAAGAATTTTCTTCTCTAAGCATAAATAACAGATATATTCTATAAAATAGGAAAACGACCCCCTATAAAGTACCTCCCCAGATATTCCGACTATGTCTAAAATTTAATCAGTTCACCACAGAATGGAATAAAGTTTAAATTTAAAATTTGATGTTTTTTTCTTAATCCATTTTCGAGTTATCTTAAAAATTCGAAATTTGTACTTTTTCTCAAATATCTCGAATACGGTCCATTTTAGGAAAATTTTGTAGAGAATAAAAATTATAGAGAATAATTTTATAAGCAACTTTTATTTGAAGAATTTTCTTCTCCAAGCATAAATAACAGATATATTGCATAAAATAGAAAAACGACCCCCCATAAAGTACCTCCCCAAATGTTCCGACTATGCCCAAAATTTAAACAGTTCACCACAGAATGGAATAAAGTTTAAATTTAAAATTTGATGTTTTTTTCTTAAATCCATTTTCGAGTTATCTTAAAAATTCGAAATTTGTACTTTTTCTCAAATATCTCGAATACGGTCCATTTTAGGAAAATTTTGTAAAGAATAAAAATTATAGAGAATAATTTTATAAGCAACTTTTATTTGAAGAATTTTCTTCTCCAATCATAAATAACAGATATATTGCATAAAATAGAAAAACGACCCCCCATAAAGTACCTCCCCAAATGTTCCGACTATGCCTAAAATTTAAACAGTTCACCACAAAATGGAATAAAGTTTAAATTTAAAATTTGATGTTTTTTCTTAATCCATTTTAGAGTTATCTTAAAAATTCGAAATTTGCACTTTTTCTCAAATATCTCGAATACGGTCCATTTTAGGAAAATTTTGTAAAGAATAAAAATTATAGAGAATAATTTTATAAGCAACTTTTATTTGAAGAATTTTCTTCTCTAAGCATAAATAACAGATATATTCTATAAAATAGGAAAACGACCCCCTATAAAGTACCTCCCCAGATATTCCGACTATGTCTAAAATTTAATCAGTTCACCACAGAATGGAATAAAGTTTAAATTTAAAATTTGATGTTTTTTTCTTAATCCATTTTCGAGTTATCTTAAAAATTCGAAATTTGTACTTTTTCTCAAATATCTCGAATACGGTCCATTTTAGGAAAATTTTGTAGAGAATAAAAATTATAGAGAATAATTTTATAAGCAACTTTTATTTGAAGAATTTTCTTCTCCAAGCATAAATAACAGATATATTGCATAAAATAGAAAAACGACCCCCCATAAAGTACCTCCCCAAATGTTCCGACTATGCCCAAAATTTAAACAGTTCACCACAGAATGGAATAAAGTTTAAATTTAAAATTTGATGTTTTTTTCTTAAATCCATTTTCGAGTTATCTTAAAAATTCGAAATTTGTACTTTTTCTCAAATATCTCGAATACGGTCCATTTTAGGAAAATTTTGTAAAGAATAAAAATTATAGAGAATAATTTTATAAGCAACTTTTATTTGAAGAATTTTCTTCTCCAAGCATAAATAACAGATATATTGCATAAAATAGAAAAACGACCCCCCATAAAGTACCTCCCCAAATGTTCCGACTAAGCCCAAAATTTAAACTGTTCACCACAGAATGGAATAAAGTTTAAATTTAAAATTTGATGTTTTTTTCTTAATTCATTTTTCGAGTTATCTTAAAAATTCGAAATTTGCACTTTTTCTCAAATATCTCGAATACGGTCCATTTTAGGAAAATTTTGTAAAAAATAAAAATTATAGAGAATAAAATTATAAGCAACTTTTATTTAAAGAAGTTTTTTCTCCTAGCTCAAATAACAGATATATTCTATAAAGTAAAAAAACGACCTTTTATAAAGTACCTCCCCAGATATTCCAACTATGTCTAAAATTTAATCAGTTTACTACAAGATGAATTAAAGCTTAAATTTGAAATTTGGTATTTTTCTCTTTATTCATTTTTGAGTTATCTTAAAAATTCAAAATTTGCATTTTTCTCAAATATCTCGAATACGGTCCATTTTAGGAAAATTTTGTGTAGAACAAAAATTATGGAGAACAATATTATAAGCAACTTTTATTTGAAGCATTTTTTTCTCCAAGCATAAATAACAGATATATTGCATAAAATAGAAAAACAACCCCCCATAAAGTACCTCCCCAGATTTTCTGACTATGCCCAAAATTTAAACAGTTCACCGCAGGATGGATTAAAGCTTAAATTTAAAATTTGATGTTTTTTTCTTAATCTATTTTTGAGTTATCTTAAAAATTCGAAATTTGCATTTTTTTCTCAAATATCTCGAATACGGTCCATTTTAGAGAAATTATTTATAGGACAAGAATTATAGAAAATAATATCAAACAACTTTTATTTGAAAATTTTTCTTAAAAATTCGAAATTTACACATTTTCTCAAATATCTCGAATACGGTCCATTTTAGGAAAATTTTGTATAGAACGAAAATTATAGAGAATAATTTTATAAGCAACTTTTATTTAAAGAATTTTCTTCTCCAAGCATAAATAACAGATACATTCCATAAAATATAAAAATGATCCCCTATAAAGTACCTCCCTAGATGTTCCGACTATGTCCAAAATTTAAGCAGTTTATAACAGGATGAATTAAAGCTTAAATTTAAAATTTGGTGTTTTTCTCTTTATCCGTTTTTGAGTTATTTTTAAAATTTGAAATTTTCACATTCTCTCAAATATCTCAAATACGGTCCATTTTAAAAAATTATTTATAAGACAAGAATTATAGAAAATAATATCACAAACAACTTTTATTTCAACAATTTTCCTAAAAATTCGAATGTTATACTTTCTATCAAATATCTCGAATACGGTCCATTTTAGGAAAATTTTGTATAAAATAAAAATTATAGAGAATAATATAAGCATTTTTTATTTTCTTTTGTATATATTTTAATTTTTTTTTTATTTATTTGAATTTAAAGAAATTAATTTGGAAAATATGTAGAATTTATTTTCATTATTTTTATTTTCTTCTGTATTTCTTTTTATATATATTTTAATTTTTTTTATTTCTATTTTTTTTTTAATTTTTATATATTTTTATTTATTAATATTTGTTTAATTTATTTTGATTTTTTTTAAATTTTTTTTTTATTTATTTTTACATATTTTCATTTATTTTTATATTTATTCTAATTCATTTTGATTAATTTTAATTTAATTTGATTTATTTTTACTTATTTTTGTTTTTTTAGTTACTTTTGTATTTATTTTTACATATCTTCATTTATTTTTATATTTATTTTGATTCATTTTAATTTAATTTTATTTATTTTGGATTATTTTGATTAATTTTGAGTCATTTTAAGTACAACAACGTATCAAAGTTTCAGAAAATTTGACCAATCGCCACTTTACATAAGAAAAGTGCAGTGTCCTTTACTTCCTTGAAGTCCTTATCGATTATTTCCTCAACTTCTCAGCTATAAATTTCATACATTTTTTTTTTAATTTTCGTTTTATTCAGAATCATTGTTTTTTTCGAAAATTCGATAACACATCTTGCATATATTTTAGCGGTCACATGGTAATGGGAGATTCATTCAATTCCTCCCTATTCAAACAGACATTCCAACGGGTGTTCACCAAAGATCAAAAGGGCGAATTAAAAATGGCTTTCAACGGGACTCTGGAAGTGAAATGTTCTAGAGAATTGAAAGGTATACCTACTTGCTCTTGAAAATAAATCAATTTATACATGTCTCACTATTAAACTACTAATATAATTCGGTTTTACCAATCATTTTAATAAAGTTTTTGTATATATATATATATATATATATATATATATATATATATACATCATCCTATCGTTTTGGCATCCGTTTATTATTAAATTCCCAACATTGTAGCATCTCTTTGCAAAGTGGCGTCCGTATATGGACGTCACTTTGTTTTCTCCTAATAATTTGGTCCACAGTAGAAATTAACGCACTTTTTGCCTTCCAGTCTAATCTATGCGATCTGTACATTGACCTATTCTTTTATCATCCATCTTATTCTATTCAGTGCTGAGTTATATTAGATTATTTTAAGGATCACTGGACTCCAAATTGTTAGGAATATGAAAGTGAAATATACAAACTTAGTTCAGCCTTTTGCCATTTTAGCGCTAGTGTCATGTATATCTTATATACATGTTTCTTTCATTTATAAACCTACTGGCATCCGAAATGTGGCAACACTGTTAAAACAGTTTTAATATTTCTTTCCGTCTATGGAATAAACTTAGAGCCAAACGAAGTATTAGCATCATAATAGCTATGTAAACATATTTTTATTATATACGTCTTTTTGACGTCCATATAGAAGTATCGTTATTTGCATCAATTTGGCTTCCAAGATTTTACTGATTACAAAATTTAAATAAATTAATTTAGACATATTCTGTAACTGACTGTTACAATATTTTTCATTTTTTTTTTAATATTTTCGCATTTATTTTGAATAAATCTAACAATTGGTAAGAATTTAAAATGTAAAGCATAATTATAAGAAAATAATTTTAGTTAAGGTTTGAATTAATTAAAATGAAACAACTTGTATATATTATTTGAAAACATTAATTTATTTTGTTAAATTTACTGAATTTCTCCTTAACCCACCCCTACTCACCCCCACCAGGTCAGAATAATTGAAATAAGTTAATTCTTTAATATTTTATTGTCTTATTGTTTTATTGCAAATCGCGATAGTAATACATGGCTTTATTGACTGAAGTATTATAATAGGTATTATAATAAGTATTATAATAAGGTTACACATAATATGCAATATTCAACTATTTGCCAAAAAATATCAATTATTAGAGTAACGATTATTTAAATACATTTCCATATAGAGCTTGTTTAGTCCTAAAAATTTTAAGTTGATATCGTTTTTCGTTTTTAATTTTGTGATTTTTTAATTTTAACCCTCCTTATTCTCCTCTTTTTAATCAGATTTTTTAAAAATCAATAGGCTTCGTCCCCTTAGAGAGCTTAATTTTGCCAAAATAAATTAAGTTGGTATCGTTTTTCATTTTTGTTTTTTTTTTTTTTAATTTCAACTCCCCTTAACCACCCATTTTTATTCTGATTTTTCAAAATCAATAGACTTCGTCCTCTGATAAAGCTTGATTTTCCTTAAAATTTCAAATTAAAATTGTTTTTATTTTTTGATTTGTTTTATTTTTTAAGTTTCAACTCCCTCTTAAATCCCCAATTTTAATCAATTTTTTTTTAAATCAATAGGCTTGGTTCTCTGATAAACCTTGATTTTCCCGAAAATTTCAAATTAATATTGTTTTTTTATTTGTTTTATTTTTTAGTCTCAACCCGGCTTAAACCCGCAATTTTAATTCAGGTTTTTTAAAATCAAAAGGCTTCGTGCCCTTATAGAATTTGATTTTTCCTAAAAATTTCAAGTTGATATCGTTTTTCATTTTTCAATTTTAATTTACGATTTTTTTATTTTAACTACCTTTAACCCCCATTTTTATATATAGATCTTGATTTTTCTGAAAATTGCAAGTTTATATTGTTTTTCGTTTTTGATTTGATTTTTTTTCAATCCCCTTTAAACCCCAATTTTAAAATAATTTTATTCAAAATCAATAGGCTTCGGCTTCTAAAAGAGCTTGATTTTTCTTATAAATTTCAAGTGGCTATTGGTTTTTGATTTTTGATTTTTTTTTAAGTTTCCCAATTTTCCAATGTTAGCAATTTGCTCAAGTGGTCCGTTTTAAAGTCATAAAAGAACAAGAAGCCTTAAAATAATAAATTTTACCTTTAAAAACAAAAGTTTTGTATTATATATAATTATTCTCTATATAGAACCTATAAATTTGATACTTATACTTACCACACGTGTTAGAAACTTCGCGCTTAAAAATGATTTACACGACAAAGCAAATTGGTAAATTAATACATTCATTTATAGCTAGTTAAAGTGTAAAACTTTTGTTAATAAATTTAGAATGATAATAACAACAGTAATGTATTTATTTTGTTTAAAACCGGTACTCATGCTATTTCAAACAAAAATGCCACCTATATTTCTTGCCTAAGCAAAAGAGGTGAAATTTTCTACCATCGACAGTTAAATGCCGACTTGCTACAGTGAAGAAGGAGATGAGTCGTAGCAAAAGTATTGTATGTAAGTGAGTACCAGGAGTTTACTCATATCCAACAATTCCAAGTAACGGTTTACTATAAAACTCCAAGCAGCTAAACAAAATTCATCTTCATGATGACTCAAGCGGCTATGCTATAAATGAGTATCTCTTGCTAATAAATCGTTACCTTATCTATAATACCTATTGCCTAACCTAATTAAGTAATAGTAACAGACACTTTGGTTGGGGATAAATAATGAAAAAATTACAATTAAATACCCAAATTTAATAATAATATTTATGCGTTAAGGGTCCACCTCGGTTACACATAATATGCAATATTCAACAACTATTTGCCAAGCAATGTCAATTATTAGAGTAACGATTATTTAAATACATTCCCATATAGAGCTTGTTTAGTCCTAAAAATTTTAAGTTGATATTGTTTTTCGTTTTTAATTTTCGGATTTTTTTAATTTCAACCTCCTTAACCCCCCTCTTTTGATTCAGATTTTTTAAAAATCAATAGGCTTCGTCCCCTTATAGAGCTTAATTTTTCCAAAAAAAAATTAAATTGATATCGTTTTTCGTTTTTCATTTTCTTTTTTTAATTTTAACTTCCTTAACCATCCTGTTTTATTCAGATTTTTTTAAAATCAATACATTTCGTCCCCCTATAGATTTTGATTTTTAGTGAAAATTTCAAGTTTATATTGTTTTTTGTTTTTGATTTGATTTTGTTTTTGTTTTAACTCCCTCTTAAACCCCCATTTTTAATCAGTTTTTTCAAAATCAATAAAGCTGATAAAGCTTGATTTTCCTGAAAATTTCAAATTAATATTGATTTTAGTTTTTGATTTGTTTTATTTTTTAAGTTTCAATCCCCCTTAAACCCTTCATTTTTATTCAGATTTTTTTCAAAATCACAAGGCTTCGGCCCCTTATAGAACTTGATTTTTCCTAAAAATTTTAAGTTGATATCGTTTTTCATTTTTCAATTTTGATTTACGATATTTTTATTTCAACTACCTTTAACCCCCATTTTTATTATAGGCTTCGTCCGCCTATAGATCTTGTTTCAATCCCCCCTTAAACCCCCAATTTTAAAACAATTTTTTTCAAAATAAATAGGCTTCGTCTTCTAACAAAACTTGATTTTTCCTAGAAATTTCAAGTGGATATTGATTTTAGTTTTTGATTTATGATTTTTTTAAGTTTCCCAATTCTTATCAGATTTTTTTCAAAATCTATAGACTTTGCCCTCTGATTCGGCTTGATTTCTCTTGAAAATTTCAGGTTGAACTACTAACATTCCTACCTCCACTTTGGAGACTCCAAAATGATTGTAAATGTGATGTGTTTCCCAAATATATTATGTGGACGTTAGAATAACCGGTAAAAAAAAAAATTAGCGAGACGCCGAAATGGTAGAAAATTTTAAATATATTTTTTATACGCTTCATGATGGAGATGCCGAAATGATTATAAAGGTCAAGAGTTTCTTATATTTGTATATGTGGACGTTAAAATAATCGGTTTTAAAAGGAAATTAGTGAGACGTCATAATGATTGCAAAATTTAAATATATTGTATATACACTGCATGATGGAGACGCCAAAATGATTATAAGGTGAAGTGTTTCTCATATATGTATATGTGGACGTTAGAATGTCTTAAAAGAAAACTAGCGAGACGCCGAAATGATTGAACATTTTAAATATATTTTATATACACTGCATGATGGAGACGCCAAAATGAATATTAAGGTAAAGTGTTTCTTACATTTGCATATGTGGACGTTAAAATGATCGGTATTATAAGGAAACTAACGAGACGTCGTAATGATTAAAAAATTTAAATATTCTTTATATATGTCGCATGATAGATGTCAAAATGATTATAAAAGTAAAATGTTTTTCATATACGTTGACGCTAGAATGATCGGTTTTTAAAAATAACTAAGAGGACGCCATAGTGATTTATATATTTAAACATATTATGTTATATACATTAGGTACAGGACGTTAAAAGGATGATATTATTAAAAGCTTTCAGATATACTAATGATAATATATAATTATGTTAAACGTTGGGGTTTTAAATAATGGTTGATGCACCGTCTGTGTATATCCACAATATGTGACGTTACAATGATTGGATTTTCTTTTAAGAAACTTGGCAACGTTGCTGGTAGTCGCAATGATTTCACTTTTAATTTTTTTTTTGTACGGACGCCAAAATGCGTTTTAGTGTAAAAGTCGCGTATATAGTAAACTTTACACTACTAAAAATCTGAGATGAGTTTCATGTATTAAAAAATGCGCCGGATTTATATACACGGCTAAATATTTAAAAATTGGTTTCTTTCTAGTGGACGCCAAATTAAGGTGTTATGAAAGGATGCCGAAATGATAGTGGGATGTATATATATATATATATATATATATATATATATATATATATATATATATATATATATATATATATATACATATATATACACAATTGAAAGGTATTCATATAAATTTTTAGTGCAAGGAGGGATTGGTTCTTGCGTATCATTGAATGTAAAAGGTCCGCTTGTTTCGGATACCGAAATCGGTATGGGAAATACGGTGCAATGGAAAATGTGCACTTTAACTCCAAGTACCACTATAGCGCTGTTTTTCGAAGTGGTCAATCAGCATTCTGCACCGATTCCTCAAGGAGGAAGAGGATGCATACAATTTATTACTCAATATCAGGTATACAATTTTTTTCTTTTGTGAATTCTTTCCTTCTTTGTCCAAATTTCCCTCATTTTTTAGAAAAGTTTTCGTTGAATTTTTCTTCATTTATAATTGAAGGGATTAGAAGCAAAAGGGTTTAAGTGATATTCTTTTATAAATGAGTTAAGTGGATTTTTCTACTGTTAAGATATCAAAAATAATAGTTTTAAATAACGAAATATGCACTTAACTCATTTAAAAAGAAATGTCACTTGAAGCTTTTTGCTTCTAACCCCTTCAATTATTTTCTAGCATTCTAATGGTCAGAGAAGGATCAGAGTGAGTACCATAGCTCGTAATTGGGCGGACGCGACCGCGAATATACATCACATTAGCGCTGGGTTCGATCAAGAAGCGGCCGCTGTAATTATGGCCAGGATGGCTGTATACAGAGCGGAATCGGACGATAGTCCTGATGTTCTTAGATGGGTGGACAGGATGTTGATTAGATTGGTAAGTAGGAGCTAAATTAATGCGATTAAATGTATATGGAATGGTGTAGTGATTTACAAATTTTTTTTTTTTTATTATTTTCTACTGGAAAATTAAAATTTTATAATTTTTCTCAAATTTTTCCATTACAGTCAATTTTACAGAAATATTGTATAAAAAATGATATCGCAAACAATATTTGTTTAAATTATTTTTTTAAAAATTCGAATTTTGTACTTTTTGTTAAATTTCTCGATTGCGGACTATTTTAGGAAAATTTTGTAAAGAACAAAAATTATAGAGAATAATATTACAAGCCACTTTTATTTGAAAAATTTTCTTCTCCAAACATATATTCTAGAAAATATAAAAATTACCTTTTATAAAGTACCCCCTTAAATGTTCCGACTCTGTCCAAAATCTAATCAATTCACTACCGGATGGAATGAAGCTTAAATTTAAAATTTGGTGTTTTTCTTTTTGTCAGTTTTTGAGTTTTAAAAATTCAAAATTTGCACTTTTTGTCAAATTTTTCAAATACGGTCCATTTTAGGAAAATTTTGTATAGGATCAAAATTATAGAGAATAATATTAGAAGTAACTTTTATTTAAAGAATTTTCTTCTCCAAGCGTAAATAACATATATTCCATAAAATATAAAAATTACCACCTATAAAGTACCCCCCAAATGTTCCGCCTCTGCCCTAAATCTAATCAGTTCACCGCAGGCTGGAATAAAGCCTAAGTTTAAAATTTTGTGCTTTTATTTTTATCCGTTTTCCAGTTATTTTAAAAATTCCAAATTTGCACTTTTTGTTAAATATCTCGAATACGGTCAATTTTAGGAAAATTTTGTATAAGATAAAAATTATAAAGAATAATTTTATAAGCAACTTTTATTTGAAGAATTTTCTTCTCCAAGCATAAATAACAGATATATTCTATAAAATATAAAAATGACTACCTATAAAGTACCCCCCCAGATGTTCCGACTCTGTCCAAAATCTAATCAATTCACCGCAAGCTGGAATAAAGCCTAAGTTTAAAATTTTATGCTTTTATTTTATCCGTTTTTGAGTTATTTTAAAAATTCCAAATTTGCACTTTTTGTCAAATTTTTCGAATACGGTCCATTTTAGGAAAATTTTGTATAGGATCAAAATTATAGAGAATAATATTAGAAATAACTTTTATTTAACATTTTCTTCTCCAAACGTAAATAACAGATATATTCCATAAAATATAAAAATGACTACCTATAAAGTACCCCCCCAGATGTTCCGACTCTGTCGAAAATCTAATAAATTCACCGCAAGCTGGAATAAAGCCTAAGTTTAAAATTTTGTGCTTTTATTTTTATCCGTTTTTGAGTTATTTTAAAAATTCCAAATTTGCACTTTTTGTCAAATTTCTCGAATACGGTCCATTTTCGGAAAATTTTGTATAGGACAAAAATTATAGAGAATAATATCATAAACAATTTTTATTTAAAGAATTTTCTTCTCAAATTGTAAATAACAGATATATTTCATAAAATAGAAAAACAACCCCCTATATTCAATAAAATACGTATATAATTTAAAACGTGGCAACGTCGCATTCTGTATTTAATATCTGCTAGACATTCGGTACTTCATAGTTAAGAGATAAAGCCGATCGGAATTAAGCGGAATAGAATTAGTAAAAACTGGTAAAAATTTAGTAGTTATAATATATAAATTAATATTGCACTTCCTTTTTTTTCCCTAACCCTGTACCTAAAGTGTCTATTGACAGTTCCTTTAGGATACGACGATCTGAATCTATTGGTAAGTTTATTTTGTTGGAATGATTTAGCCAATAAGGCAATTATTCCTTATAAAGTACCTCCCCCAGATGTTCAGACTATGTCCACAATTTAAATAGTTTACTGCCCGAAGGATTAAAACTTAAATTTAAAATTTGCTAGTTTTTTTCTTTATTCGTTTTTGAGAAATCTTAAAAATTCGAAATTTACACTTTTTGTAAAATATCTCGAATACGGTCCATTTTAGGAAAAATTTGTATAAGATAAAAATAATAGAAAATAATATTACAAACAACTTTTATTTAAAGAATTTTCTTCTTCAAACGTAAATAACAGATATTATATTCGATAAAGTAGAAAAACGATCTTTTCTAAATATCTTGTGATTATTTATTTTTTAAAGACATCTTTACACTGAATTAATATATTTTCTTCTATTTATATAGCAGAATTTTATTTAAAAATGCTGTTGCAAGTCTATATTCGCATCGGAATGGTCATTTCATTAACTTTCAAACAGTAGCGCCTTGTGATCAAAATATCAGGGGTTCACAATGATAAATTTAGGTAAAAAAACCTTCAGTATAGACATAGAAAATTGGTAACAAATCGTCATTACTTTCCAATAAATACATTTTTTTTTAGCTAGAATGGAACGCGAATTATATGATGTAGTTTAATTAAAATTTCACTGCTTTCAAACAATATTCTGAGCTAGAAAAATATTAGTTTTTTTCATAATTTATAAAAAAAACGAAAAACTAATGTTTAATGCAATTAAAATAGGATCCTGTATCTATTAAAAATTTATATGTTTTACATTTCCTTATTGTAGTGTCAAAAATTCGGAGAATACAACAAGGACGACGCGAATTCGTTCAGATTGGGTCAAAACTTTAGCCTCTATCCCCAATTCATGTACCATCTGAGACGTTCTCAATTCCTGCAAGTTTTCAATAATTCACCGGACGAAACGTCGTATTATCGGCACATGTTAATGAGAGAAGATCTGACGCAGTCTTTGATTATGATCCAGCCGATTTTGTACAGTTACAGCTTCAACGGGCCCCCGGAACCCGTTCTGTTGGATACGAGTTCGATTCAATCGGAGAGGATATTATTGATGGACACTTTCTTCCAAATATTGATATTCCACGGAGAGGTAGGGTACCAAAACATTTTTTAAGAGGTTCTTGAAGAGGGTTGCCACCATTTTGAAAAGTGAATAAAGGACTATGATGCTGATAGGGGACAAAAGAACGTTAAAAAAGAAAAAAAAAAGTCAAAAATGCCAGAAAAGTAAAAAAAAAGTCAAAAAGATGCCAGAAAAGTCAAAAAAAGGAAAAATTAAAAAAGTCAAAAAAAGTTAAAAAAAATGTCTGAAAAGTAAAAAAAGTCAAAAATGTTTAAAAAACGCCAGAAAAATTTAAAAAATTCAAAAAAGTTTAAAAACGACAGAAAAGTCAAAAAAAGTTAAAAAAAATGTCAGAAAAGTAATAGTCATAAAAACGTTAAAAAAAGTCGAAAAAGTTAAAAAATGCTAGAAAAGTCAAAAAAGTTTAAAAAAAGTCCAAAAAAATGTCATAAAATTAAAAAAAAGTCAAAAAAATTCAAAAAAGTCCTCGTCTTTCTACCAAGGTTCTAAAGAAAAAGCTCAGCTTGTATATTTTTGTACAAGCCAGGTCTCTTTTAAAGATTTCAAAGAGTAAAACAGGATATATGCTGTAAAAAAAGGACATTTTGAACTTTAAAAAATCGCAAGGACATTTTGCTTGAAAAAAGGACGGGTGGCAACCCCATTAATAAAAAAAATGTTTATCTGTTAGAAATTTGATTGGATTTCACTATTATGAAAACTTTGAATTTTTCTCTACAGAATTGGATTGGAAAGTTTTAAAATGTTCTTCGAGAAAGTGGTTTTCCATCAATAAATTGACTTTTTTTTGATAGTGGATTTCACTACTACGAAAACTTATTAAAAATTATTAAGAATTATTAAAACTTATTAAAACTTAACTTATTAAAACTTAACTTAATAAAACTTATTAAAACTTAACTTAATAAAACTTATTAAAACTTATTAAAACTTATTAAAACTTATTAAAACTTAACTTAATAAAACTTATTAAAACTTAACTTAATAAAACTTATTAAAACTTAACTTAATAAAACTTATTAAAACTTAACTTAATAAAACTTATTAAAACTTATTAAAACTTACTTATTAAAACTTATTAAAACTTATTAAAACTTATTAAAACTTATTAAAACTTATTAAAACTTATTAAAACTTATTAAAACTTATTAAAACTTATTAAAAATTTATAAAAATTCATGAAAAATTTATAAAAATTCATGAAAATTGTTAAAAATTATTAAGAATTTATTAAAAATTCACGAAAATTCATAAAAATTATTAAGAATTATTAAAAATTCATAAAAATTATTAAAAATTCATTAAAGTTCATAAAAATTATTAAGAATTATTAAAAATTATTGAAAATTCATAAAAATTCATGAAAATTATTAAAAATTAATAAAAACTATTAAAAAAATATTAAAAATTAATAAAAATAATTAAAAACTATTAAAAATTTATTAAAATTAATAAAAATTAATAATCATTTGTTTTTTTAAATTATAAACACGACACCACGTGTGCTCAAACTAGTTATAAATAAAAACGTTTATTTTCATCGGATGGTGTTGGAAAAATTTCAAAATTTTTCTTCAAAACATTTACCATCAATTTTCCGTCTAGACCATTTTTTTTACAGCAAATTTCACTACTACGAAGATCGATTGAAGTTTATTTTTTCATAAAATTGTAGTTTCTCAAAATTTGATAAAAAATCTGAAAAATTTCATTTTATGGGATCAATGAGTTTATTATTAAGAATATCTCCATAAATATGAATTTTATAAAAAATTCAAAAGAGACCTTTTTTGTAGAGAATTTTATTTCCTACAAAATTGTTCTTGACGATTTTTTCTCAAATCCGTTTACTTTAAGAGATATTTTGAAAAAACTACGATTTTATGAAAAAATAAACTTGCAGCACGTGTTTAACGACCACTCTAGTATTTATATGTATAAATCTTTTCTGAAACGTCAACAGCATATATCCTAATGACAACTTGTCAACGAATTTAATATTGACACTTCTTAACTTCTTTTTTACTGATTTTTGCCGAAATTTTTAGACAATAGCTCAGTGGCGTAACTTGAAATACCAAGATATGCCGGAATACGAAAACTTTAGACAACTGTTACAAGCACCCGTGGACGATGCTCAGGAAATATTGCAGACGAGATTTCCCATGCCGAGATACATCGATACCGAACAGGGCGGTTCTCAAGCTAGATTTTTACTATCCAAAGTCAATCCGAGTCAAACTCATAACAATATGTACGCATATGGAGGCGTAAGTAATTTAATTTTATGTAACATCGATGCAAGATTTCTTTTTTCTTAATATATAAAATCTATGGAGTCATATTTTATAACAAACAATATAGTTTTTAATATCTATTACGATTTTAAAAAATTACCGAATTTGATCGATAATTAATACAGTTATCTAACCAATTTTAATATTGGTACTGTTAGAAAAAATTCCCGTATAGATTCAACTTAATGGAAAACCACTGTATATTATGCATTAAGTCAATGAGGGTTTTAAGAAGCTGAAGATGTTAATTAATTTGTTTTTGCTTGTTAAAATCTCTTACAAATGTTACTTTCGTGGTTTCAGGAAAATATTCTGTCGTTTGCCTTTCTTTGCTCATGTTTTGTTAATTTAATTAAATCCTGGGGAAGTTAATACATATATTAAAATTTTCCTGACTAAATTTTACAGGCTTTTTTCAGTTATTTTGTACAACTTTTTGTATTACCCCTGTAAATAATTATTGCCAATGAAAATACTGAAAAATTGCAATTTTAAACTTTTCCTCAAAATTATACAGAATGATATCGCAAAACTTTTATTTGAACAATTTTCCTTGAAAATTTGTTTTTGTCAATTTTCTTGAGTACGGTCCATTTTAGAAAAATTTTGTATAGGATAAATATTAGAAGCAACTTTTATTTGAAGAATTTTCTTCTCTACTAGCTCTATGTTTCTTTTCTGTATTGTTCTCTCTTCTGTAGTCTTTGTGAACTAGCCCTATGTTTTTTTTCTGTATTATTCTCTAATCTGTGATTCTTGTGAACTAGCCCTTTGTTTCTATTCTATATTGTTCTCTCTTCTATGGTTATTGTGAACTAGCCTTATGTTTCTTTTCTTTATTGTTTTCTCTTCTGTGGTTCTTGTGAACTAGCTCTGCGTTTCTTTTCTGTATTGTTCTCTATTCTGTGGTTCTTGTAAACTAGCCCTATGTTTCTTTTCTGTATTGTTCTCTATTCTGTGGTTCTTGTAAACTAGCCCTTTGTTTCTTTTCTGTATTGTTCTCTATTCTATGGTTTTTTTTGAACTAGTCCTATGTTTTTTTCTATATTGTTCTCTCTCCTATGATTCTTGTGAACTAACTTTATGTTTCTTTTCTGTATTGTTCTTTCTTCTGTGGTTCTTGTAAACTAGCCCTATGTTTCTTTTCTGTATTGTTCTCTATTCTATGGTTTTTGTGAACTAGTCCTATGTTTTTTTCTATATTGTTCTCTCTCCTATGATTCTTGTGTACTAACTTTATGTTTCTTTTCTGTGTTGTTCTTTCTTCTGTGGTTCTTGTAAACTAGCCTTATGTTTCTTTTCTGTATTGTTCTCTATTCTGTGGTTCTTGTAAACTAGCCCTTTGTTTCTTTTCTGTATTGTTCTCTATTCTATGGTTTTTTTTGAACTAGTCCTATGTTTTTTTCTATATTTTTCTCTCTCCTATGATTCTTGTGAACTAACTTTATGTTTCTTTTCTGTATTGTTCTTTCTTCTGTGGTTCTTGTAAACTAGCCCTATGTTTCTTTTCTGTATTGTTCTCTATTCTATGGTTTTTGTGAACTAGTCCTATGTTTTTTTCTATATTGTTCTCTCTCCTATGATTCTTGTGTACTAACTTTATGTTTCTTTTCTGTGTTGTTCTTTCTTCTGTGGTTCTTGTAAACTAGCCTTATGTTTCTTTTCTGTATTGTTCTCTATTCTGTGGTTCTTGTAAACTAGCCCTTTGTTTCTTTTCTGTATTGTTCTCTATTCTATGGTTTTTTTTGAACTAGTCCTATGTTTTTTTCTATATTTTTCTCTCTCCTATGATTCTTGTGAACTAACTTTATGTTTCTTTTCTGTATTGTTCTTTCTTCTGTGGTTCTTGTAAACTAGCCCTATGTTTCTTTTCTGTATTGTTCTCTATTCTATGGTTTTTGTGAACTAGTCCTATGTTTTTTTCTATATTGTTCTCTCTCCTATGATTCTTGTGTACTAACTTTATGTTTCTTTTCTGTGTTGTTCTTTCTTCTGTGGTTCTTGTAAACTAGCCTTATGTTTCTTTTCTGTATTGTTCTCTATTCTGTGGTTCTTGTAAACTAGCCCTTTATTTCTTTTCTGTATTGTTCTCTTTTCTGTGGTTCTTACAAACTAGCTATAGTCAATTTTAAGTGAGTAACCATTTGAGATTGGTAATTACCACAACATTCAAATGATTTCGGTTATTAATTTGACAATCACGTCATAGTTATAACCAAAAGTTTGCTGTATTTACCTACTTCAAGAGCTGTTTTTAATTATTGATTATAGACAATTGACAATTACAGCGTTCTAAGTGTTTCTACCGACTAGTACAATACAAATAAAGTATATGGAATCTGATTTTATGCCTTTTTTGAACATTCAAATCACGTTCAAAAATGGTAAATGATTATTGGAGGAGTAAAAATTGTAAAGGGAAAAACTTTCGAGACCAATTTCTTTTTTGGATCTTATTCTTTCTTGCAGGACAATAAACAATATAGTTTGAATTAAAATCTAGAACACTAAGGGCCATTTGCACCGCTAGTAGTTAAGAAATAAGCGAAGCGTAAAATGACATTGTTAATGGCAAAATGTCATTTTAAGCTTAGCTTATTTCTTAACGATCAGTGGTGCAAATAGACCTAATTCATAAACACGACCAAAAAAAGATCGGTTGAATTGACATTTAAAAAAAAAAAACAAATTTATAATCACGGTTATTACCACTTTTGTTTAAGTGACGTCAGTATACTAACTCTTATAAATTCACACAATAACCAACAAATGTTGTGGTAAATACCAAAAAAATTTGGTAGTTCGCCTAAAATTGCTTTATGTTTCTTTTCTGTATTGTTCTCTCTTCTGTGGTTCTTGTGAACTAGTCCTGTTTATTTTCTGTATTGTTTCTATTCTGTGGTTCTTGTAAACTAGCCCTTTGTTTATTTTCTATATTGTTTTCTCTTCTGTGGTTCTTGTGAACTAGCTTTATGTATCTTTTCTGCATTGTTCTCTCTTCTGTGGTTCTTGTGAACTAGTCCTGTTTCTTTTCTGTATTGTTTTCTATTCTGTGGTTCTTGTGAACTAGCCCTTTGTTTATTTTCTATATTGTTCTCTTCTGTGGTTTTTGTGAACTAGCTTTATGTATCTTTTCTGTATTTTTTTCTATTCTGTGGTTCTTGTGAACTAGGTTTATTTTCTATATTGTTTTCTATTCTGTGGTTCTTGTGAACTAGCCCTTTGTTTTTCTATATTGTTCTCTTCTGTGGTTCTTGTGAACTAGCTTTATGTATCTTTTCTGTATTTTTTTCTATTCTGTGGTTCTTGTGAACTAGGTTTATTTTCTATATTGTTTTCTATTCTGTGGTTCTTGTGAACTAGCTTTATGTATCTTTTCTGCATTGTTCTCTCTTCTGTGGTTCTTGTGAAGTAGTCCTGTTTCTTTTCTGTATTGTTTTCTATTCTGTGGTTCTTGTGAACTAGCCCTTTGTTTATTTTCTATATTGTTCTCTTCTGTGGTTCTTGTGAACTAGCTTTATGTATCTTTTCTGTATTTTTTTCTATTCTGTGGTTCTTGTGAACTAGGTTTATTTTCTATATTGTTTTCTATTCTGTGGTTCTTGTGAACTAGCCCTTTGTTTATTTTCTATATTGTTTTCTATTCTGTGGTTCTTGTGAACTAGCCCTTTGTTTATTTTCTATATTGTTTTCTATTCTGTGGTTCTTGTGAACTAGCTTTATGTATCTTTTCTGCATTGTTCTCTCTTCTGTGGTTCTTGTGAACTAGCCCTTTGTTTATTTTCTATATTGTTCTCTTCTGTGGTTCTTGTGAACTAGCTTTATGTATCTTTTCTGTATGTTTCTCTCTTCTGTGGTTCTTTTGAACTAGTCCTGTTTCTTTTCTGTATTGTTTTCTATTCTGTGGTTCTTGTGAACTAGCCCTTTGTTTATTTTCTATATTGTTCTCTTCTGTGGTTCTTGTGAACTAGCTTTATGTATCTTTTCTGTATTTTTTTCTATTCTGTGGTTCTTGTGAACTAGGTTTATTTTCTATATTGTTTTCTATTCTGTGGTTCTTGTGAACTAGCCCTTTGTTTATTTTCTATATTGTTTTCTATTCTGTGGTTCTTGTGAACTAGCCCTTTGTTTATTTTCTATATTGTTTTCTATTCTGTGGTTCTTGTGAACTAGCTTTATGTATCTTTTCTGCATTGTTCTCTCTTCTGTGGTTCTTGTGAACTAGCCCTTTGTTTATTTTCTATATTGTTCTCTTCTGTGGTTCTTGTGAACTAGCTTTATGTATCTTTTCTGTATGTTTCTCTCTTCTGTGGTTCTTTTGAACTAGTCCTGTTTCTTTTCTGTATTGTTTTCTATTCTGTGGTTCTTGTGAACTAGCCCTTTGTTTATTTTCTATATTGTTCTCTTCTGTGGTTCTTGTGAACTAGCTTTATGTATCTTTTCTGTATGTTTCTCTCTTCTGTGGTTCTTTTGAACTAGTCCTGTTTCTTTTCTGTATTGTTTTCTATTCTGTGGTTCTTGTGAACTAGTCCTTTGTTTATTTTCTATATTGTTCTCTTCTGTGGTTCTTGTGAACTAGCTTTATGTATCTTTTCTGTATTTTTTTCTATTCTGTGGTTCTTGTGAACTAGGTTTATTTTCTATATTGTTTTCTATTCTGTGGTTCTTGTGAACTAGCCCTTTGTTTATTTTCTATATTGTTTTTTATTCTGTGGTTCTTGTGAAGTAGCTCTATGTTTCTTTTCTGTATTATTTTTTCTTCTGTGGTTCTTGTGAACTAGCTCTATGTTTCTTTTCTGTATTGTTCTTTCTTCTGTAGTTCTTGTAAACTAGCTTTATGTTTCTTTTCTATATTGTTCTTTTTGCCGTGATTCTTGTTTACTTTGTATTGTTCTCTTCTGTAGTTTTTGTAAACTAGATGTTTCTTTTTGTATTGTTCTATGGTGATTTTAACATCTTACTTTTTATTTTCACCTTGTAGGATACTATTAACGTTCATTACTAGCTTGCATGATCAACACTAAACGATTGCATACATTTTCTACATTTTGTATTTAATTTTCTATTTTAGTTTCTAAATCATTATTTACTGGTACTTTAAACTTTTTCAAAAGTTCTGTGAAGTCATAGTCGAAAGGATAAATCGTATTTTCATATCTGAAGCAATCACACATGGTGTAATTTCAAATTAAACAAATATTTTGCTTAACTGCTCCTTTGTCAAATTTTGTAGACATTTACTTATGCTTAATGTGCAATATTTTTCAGTTGAGGTCACCAATTATAATAATCATACAATTTAAAGATTCTTTGTTTTTTTTTTATTATTGGCCACCCTTTTTTGATTAGTCATCAAAGTCAAAAATAATATCTTACAAGATGTAATTAAAAAGTATAATCACCACAGTTTTTTCTTCTGTGGTTCTTGTGAACTAGTCCTAAGTTTCTTTTCTGTATTATTCTCTCTTCCATGGTTCTTGTGAACTAGCTTTATGTTTCTTTTCTGTGGTTCTTTTATGTCTCTAAAACGTTCGGTTCAAGTAACTACTTTTTTTTTTGAATTAAAGTTCAATTTGTTGTCCATTATTACTTTGGGGTTTGATCTAGACATTTAATTGTAACTATTGGTGAATTATCTTTAATGGTATTATTGAATGGAGTCACATTTTAAGATTTTCTATCAACGATCTAACTATTACAAAAGAAAATCAGTGACGCCTCCATTGTTGGTGATTGTTAAAAAGTTAAAAGAAATCTCGTATCGTTATCTTTTATTTATTTTAATACAGCCTCAAAATACATAATTTTTTTAGGACGCTGGTGCGCCCGTTTTGACCGACGATGTATCCCTTCAAGTGTTCATGGATCATCTAAAAAAATTGGCGGTTTCATCTACAGCTTAGTGTATATTTCGAAACTTATTCTAAATGTATTATTTAAGCTAAAAAAATATTTTTTTATATATTTATTCCTTCAGATATCGGTTCTTGTGATAGATTAAATTTGCGTTGAAATTTTCATAAAAGCGGAGGTGCTTTACATTTTTTTTAAACGTGAAATAAAATAAATGGCGTCTAAACTTTGAAATTTCATTAATTAAATGTAACTAGAGAGTAGAGAGACACTATAATAATAATAAAATGGAAATTTAAAATATTACTTTACATTGCTCTTGTTATTTTCAATTTTAAAGTAGTTACCCAACATACGTGTTTAATATTTTTATTGAATAATTATCTGCATTCATCTATTTTATTAATAAATGAAATTATCCACAAAAATTTGCTTCTGATAACAGCGGTTCCAAAAAGGAAGGGCTATGGACGTTGTAGCCCCCTCGAAATGAAATTTTTATGATTTATGAGCTTTTTATTCGAAAAAATATGCTAAAAAGATAATATTCCTCTAAAATTTCGTCTTAGAGTCGTTTTTGGATATTTAGTAATAGTCAGGTGGCTTATAGTTAAATTTTTAATATTTTTATTGATTAATTATCTGCATTCATCTATTATTATTAATAAATTGAAATTATCCACAAAAATTTGCTTCTGATAACAGCGGTTCCAAAAAGGAAGGGCTACGGACGTTGTAGCCCCCTCGAAATGAAATTTTTATGATTTATGAACTTTTTATTCGAAAAAATATGCTAAAAAGATAATATTCCCCTGAAAATTCGTCTTAGAGTCGTTTTTGGATATTTAGTAATAGTCTGGTGGCTTATAGTTAAATTTTTAATTATTTTATTGATTAATTATCTGCATTCATCTATTATTATTAATAAATGAAATTATCTACAAAAATTTGCTTCTGATAACAGCGGTTCCAAAAAGGAAGGGCTATGGACGTTGTAGCCCCCTCGAAATGAAATTTTTATGATTTATGAACTTTTTATTCGAAAAAATATGCTAAAAAGGAAATGCTCCTCAGAAAATTCGTCTTAGAGTCGTTTCTGGATATTTAGTAATAGTCTGGTGGCTTATAGTTAAATTTTTAATATTTTTATTGATTAATTATCTGCATTCATCTATTATTATTAATAAATTGAAATTATCCACAAAAATTTGCTTCTGATAACAGCGGTTCCAAAAAGGAAGGGCTACGGACGTTGTAGCCCCTTCGAAATGAAATTTTTATGATTTATGAACTTTTTATTCCAAAAAATATGCTAAAAAGATAATATTCCCCTGAAAATTCGTCTTGAGAGTCGTTTTTGGATATTTAGTAATAGTCTGGTGGCTTATAGTAAAATTTTTAATATTTTTATTGATTAATTATCTGCATTCATCTATTATTATTAATAAATGAAATTATCTACAAAAATTTGCTTCTGATAACAGCGGTTCCAAAAAGGAAGGGCTATGGACGTTGTAGCCCCCTCGAAATGAAATTTTTATGATTTATGAACTTTTTATTCGAAAAAAATATGCTAAAAAGGAAATGCTCCTCAGAAAATTCGTCTTAGAGTCGTTTCTGGATATTTAGTAATAGTCTGGTGGCTTATAGTTAAATTTTTAATATTTTTATTGATTAATTATCTGCATTCATCTATTATTATTAATAAATGAAATTATCTACAAAAATTTGCTTCTGATAACAGCGGTTCCAAAAAGGAAGGGCTATGGACGTTGTAGCCCCCTCGAAATGAAATTTTTATGATTTATGAACTTTTTATTCGAAAAAATATGCTAAAAAGGAAATGCTCCTCAGAAAATTCGTCTTAGAGTCGTTTCTGGATATTTAGTAATAGTCTGGTGGCTTATAGTTAAATTTTTAATATTTTTATTGATTAATTATCTGCATTCATCTATTATTATTAATAAATGAAATTATCTACAAAAATTTGCTTCTGATAAGAGCGGTTCCAAAAAGGAAGGGCTATGGACGTTGTAGCCCCCTCGAAATGAAATTTTTATGATTTATGAGCTTTTTATTCGAAAAAATATGCTAAAAAGATAATATTCCCCTGAAAATTCGTCTTAGAGTCGTTTTTGGATATTTAGTAATAGTATGGTGGCTTATAGTTAAATTTTTAATATTTTTATTGATTAATTATCTGCATTCATCTATTATTATTAATAAATGAAATTATCTACAAAAATTTGCTTCTGATAACAGCGGTTCCAAAAAGGAAGGGCTATGGACGTTGTAGCCCTCTCGAAATGAAATTTTTATGATTTATGAGCTTTTTATTCGAAAAAATATGCTAAAAAGGAAATGCTCCTCAGAAAATTCGTCTTAGAGTCGTTTTTAGATATTTAGTAATAGTCTGGTGGCTTATAGTTAAATTTTTAATATTTTTATTGATTAATTATCTGCATTCATCTATTATTATTAATAAATGAAATTATCTACAAAAATTTGCTTCTGATAAGAGCGGTTCCAAAAAGGAAGGGCTATGGACGTTGTAGCCCCCTCGAAATGAAATTTTTATGATTTATGAGCTTTTTATTCAAAAAAATATGCTAAAAAGGAAATGCTCCTCAGAAAATTCGTCTTAGAGTCGTTTTTAGATATTTAGTAATAGTCTGGTGGCTTATAGTTAAATTTTTAATATTTTTATTGATTAATTATCTGCATTCATCTATTATTATTAATAAATGAAATTATCTACAAAAATTTGCTTCTGATAACAGCGGTTCCAAAAAAGGAAGGGCTATGGACGTTGTAGCCCCCTCGAAATGAAATTTTTATGATTTATGAACTTTTTATTCGAAAAAATATGCTAAAAAGAAAATGCTCAGAAAATTCGTCTTAGAGTCGTTTTTAGATATTTAGTAATAGTCTTGTGGCTTATAGTTAAATTTTTAAAAATTGGATTTAATAGTAAGGGTGCCCGGTCAATTTTAAATGGCTGGAAACTATACTAAATGTGGTGACAGTTGTGTTGTCACAATGCGTCGTAGTGAAAATATTTTTTTTAAAAAAACCTCGTTCCTTAACCAGCAACTACTACAGTGGTATATATTATTATAAAATTAAGTTATATACAGGGTGTCGTTGCTATTGTGTTTGGAATGAGAGGTTTTTAAAAAAGAATATACTTTTTTATACAGGGTGCTGAATTTTACAAAAAATTACAAAGATTTTCGTAAAAATTTGGATTTTTTTTGCATTTTGTTAAATTTCTCAAATGCGGACCATTTTAGGAAAATTTTGTATAAGACGAAAATTGTGAGGAATAATATTATAAGTAATTTTTATTTGAACAATTTTCTTCTCCAAATGTAAATAACAGTTATATTTCATAAAATATAAAAACAACCGTCTAAGTACCCCTCAAGATGTTCCGACTCTGCCCAAAATCTAAACAATTCATCTTAGACCGAAATAAAGCTAAAGTTTAAAATTTGGTATTTTTCTTTATCGGTTTTGAGTTTTTTTCAAAATTCGAAATTTTCACATTTTCTCAAATATCTCGAATACGGTCCATTTTAGAAAAATTTTGTATGGGACAAAAATTATGGAGAATAATATAAGAAATAACTTTTATTTAAACAATTTTCTTCTCAAAATGTAAATAACAGTTATATTTCATAAAATATAAAAACAACCCCCTATAAAGTTCCGACTCTGCCCAAAATCTAATAAGTTCCTCTTATTTCTGAAAATATGTTTATCTGTGTTTTCTACTAGAACAAGAATATCTTCATCATTTTCTAAACGAAGTGAAACAACCAAAGTATAATTTATACGTTATTGAAAAAAAGACTCACCCTATATAAACACCATGCTGCTTCTTTTTTTCATCTCGCTAACGGCTGGTCCATGTTAATTCACATTCTACCCATTATTCGTTCCATATCCAGATACTTTCGTACACTCCGGAAATTTTCTTTTCCCGGCGTCGTCAGTTCATTCCGACATCAACAGTCATTCTATCATTCCCTACTTCTAATACAACCCCTAGATACTCTTACAATTTATTACCATTCCAGAATCAAACACTTTGGTGTCATATTACAGAAGAAAAATAAGAATTTTAAGTTTGTATCTGGTTTGATTTAAGAAATTTTAATATAATTATAAAAGATATCACCGGGCTATATCGCTGCAGCCTTGTCTATTTGAACCAAGAATATACATCAGAAATTAAATATTATAGAGCTAACACGTCTAAGATGTAACCCTTAATAAATGATTTCAAAAGACGTAAATAGCGTGGATCAAACATCTTTATTGTCAGAGAGGAAGGGAATGATCCCAAACAAAATCGTTGATGTAATTACAAAAATAATAACATCAACGATGCCAAACGCCCAAAAACTAGCTAAAATTTAACAATATTTAAATTTTTTTTTTTAATTTTACGAATTAATATAGGCACTTTTTTATTTAATGAAAAATTGTTTTTTACGAAGAAAAAAATTAAAAACCAACCTTGAGGTTTACCAACATTTTTAAAATCGATAGAAACCCAAAAATATGATTTTAGCTGAAGAATAAAGTAGCTCTGTATTTATTTATAAATTATTAGATTAATTTACGAAAATCTAAAAAGATTACTGTCAATTCGGGTAACTTTGGACCAATGGGACAACATTAGACCAGATCATAAATAAAACTGTTTTTAATGCTCCAACACTAACGTATCTGGCTGAAATAAGAGAAAATATACAAAGTTATATTATTTTTAATGGAACACCCTGTTTTTTATTTTAGAATTAAAAACTACATCAAAAATAATGTCAGTTAACTAAAGGTTCACTATTATTATTATTAGTTTTAGATTTATTTGAATTTTTAAGGAAAAAAGTCTCCCAGAAATTAATTGTTTACTCTTGTTTGAATAATTTTTAATGAACTAATTTTTTTTTTCTTATGTGGGACATCCTGTATACATCTAACAAATTTTAAATTATAGCCGTCTGTAACCTACGTATTCCTCCCAAACGAATTTTTTATATCTTTGGTCGTTTTCCCATAAAGCTCCGTCCCGTTGAGCGTGAGCCACCCTGTATATTTGCGCCTCTCCCTCGTATATAATGAGAAAAAAATAATATTCCTGTGCCTATACATTAAATATTTAAAATTTGCTATTACTACATATTTATTTTAACACATTCATTCTCCTACCTTCACACGAAAAATCTACGCCGCTGTTAAACCGAAACGCAATCTGAAAAAGAAGAAAATACCTCTTAATTTATCCTAG